TTTCTCAGGTGTTGCTGCCTATGTGCTGGGTTCCAAGGCCTGAAGGACACCTCCACTATGACATCAATTCTGCTAAGATCTGAAGGTCTGTTACAAAACACAACAAAGTAACTTTACTTAAGACCATGACAGTTAGTGTCTCTATCACTGCAATCATATTTTCAGTGGGAAGTACTACAGTTTGAATCTGACCTGTCCACACAGGAAATCATGATAAACTTTGGTCATTGTAACAAGATTGAGAAGCAGTAGAGAGTTTTGACAGATGATTAGGCATTCAAATTATAAAGTTCTCCTGGAAATATCTTAGATCAGTTAGGACTAGAGTAATTACCATAATAATAAATTGTTATGAAGTAATCCACATATTTGGCCTCTTTTGCACATACACATTTTACTTCTCTGTCTTTTTAATATATAGACAAATAGCTGTCATTAGGTATTAACCCCAGGCTGTCTGGACTTTCCAACCATCAGAATCATGAGCAAAATATAGCATTTTTCCATGCATTGTAGTATGCCACAAGTATTTTGTTATAGAAACATAAACAAAGGTTTTTTTAATGATAAAAGCTTGATTTGAACAAATGAAATGCAATTTTATAATTCTATGGATTTACTGTGAAACATTGAACTGTAACTTTTGAATTCATGAATTGTATGCTATGTTCATTTTATATTATCAAAATTTTAAGCACATTTTAAACTGACGGATAAATTTTGACACAGCTGCATTATTTTATCTTTATATTTCTAAGTAAAAGAAAAAATGTAAGCAAAGTGGTTGTGGATGTGAAAGAGAAAGGAAATAGCAAGCAAACTTTTATGACCTTTGGGTCATCTGAGTTCTATAGTACCCAGGTGTCCACATGATCAAAAGCTAAAAGAGTATTGATTTGTAAGAAGCCATAAAGGTTAGACTTTAACTTTTTTTAATGCTTTGTCCTTAAAGTAAACCAGAGAAGGACAGCAAAATTTGGCAGAAGTACTGGCATTGCAGCAATATTCATGAGCAGTGGATTTCAGTTCTGCTGATACGCACTAGGGCATCTGTACAGAGGTCACAGGACACCTGGAGAGAATTGCTTTTCTCTTTCTACCATGTATTTACATAGGATTAAACGCAGATCATCAGGATTGGCAGCAAATGCCTTCACCAGCACAGCAATCTTTCTGACTGTAGTCATTTTTTTTTAAATCGTATCTCTTAATTAAATAAAATGTAAAGTAAGGGTCTAGAAAGATTTTGACAGTCAAAAGAACTGACTGCTCTTCCAGAACCTCCATTTTCCCATAGGGAGGCTCACTCTCTTCTCTAACTCTAATCTCAGGGGGCTCCATTGCGCTCAGCTGGCCTCCCCAAGCACCAGGCACATGAGTGGTATACAAACACACACGGCAGCAAAACACCCACACATACAAATAAATAAACTAAAAATTTAAAGAATATGTGAACTGATTGCAAGCTTCTACACTGGCTATTGGCTAAGTTGCCCAAGCCCACCGGTGGCATCCTTCCTACATTTGTAGGCCTGACAATGGCCACAGAGCTCCCGCACAGACTTTCCCAGGTGAGGGTCACTGAAATCAAGCCTTCCTGTGCCAGCAGCGAATTCCCATGCCCAGTTCCAGTCGTGCAGCTCCTGCATGAGCTTTCCCTAGTAAGTGCCATCAGAAGCCTGCCCAAGCCATCTCGGAACTTCCAGACATAGCTCCTGATATGCAGTGCAGACTTTGTCTGCAAACCTCAACAGAATCTTAGGCTTCAAGACTGTCCCCAGACTCCAAGGCTCCAGGGGTATATCTCCTACAAGAGCCCAGACTGAAGCAGGCCAGAATACTACATCATACAGAAAACAAATGAGAAATGTCTACATGCCCATATCACAGTGCGAAACACAAATATGAAAGGTCAAGACAGTATGTCCAACCCTTTAACAGAACAGTCCTATGGAAATGTTCTCCAGTGAAAACTACTTAGATGAACCACAGGGCACATACAGCTAGGGAAGACTGCTTAATTGCTCTCTCTCTGGGCAGATTTCATAGTATTTTCTGGAACCATTGAAGTTAGACTGTAGGAAGAGGCTTACTGGTCAGATCCAGGTCAAATCCTCTGAGTTCTGTGTCCCAAGTGTGTAATGTCTTCAGAAATGAGGTCCAGGGGCTGCATCAGTAGCCAATATTGTTGGGGAGTCACTTGGACAACCACGACCAACCATTTGAAAGGAGATTGTCTTAGTTAGGGTTTTTATTGCTGTGATAAATCACCATGACCAAAAGTAAGTTAAGGAGGAAAGGGTTTATCTGGCTTATACTTCCATGTCACTGTTCATCGTTGAAGGAAATCTGGACAGGAACTCAAACACAGCAGGAACCTGGAGGCAGGAGCTGATGCAGAGGCTATGGAGAGGTGCTGCTTACTGGCTTGCTATTCATGGCTTGTTCAGCCTATTTTCTTATAGAACCCAGGACCAGAAGCCCAAGGATGACATGACCCATAATGGGCTCTCCCCCATCAATCACTAATTAAGAAAATGCCTTCCATCTGGATCTAATGGAGGAATTTTCTCAGTTGATGTTCCCTCCTTTCAAATAACTCTAGTTTGTGTGTCAAGCTGACATAAGACCAGCCAGCACAGAGGTATAGTGTGCTGGAGAGAAATTATGACTGATACAGGAAACCTAGCCAGCCTCCTGGGGCTAGTGACATTATTGCCCTTAGGGTGAAAAAAAAAACAATGATTTCCACTTTGCTAGACCAGCACAATTCCTTACTACATTCTAAATCTTATTCTTATACCCATAGGTAAGTGTGTGTCTTAGTCAATGTTCTATTGCTGTGAAGAGACACTGAGATCGTGGCAACTCTTATAAAGGAAAGCATTTAATTGGGGTTGGCTTACAGTTTGGAGGTTTAGATCATTGTCATCATGGCAGAAAGCATGGTGGCATGCAGGCAGACATAGTTGAGAATTCTACATCCAGATCTGCAGGAAGAGAAAGAGAGACACTGGGCCTGGCTTGAGCATTTGAAACCCCAAAGCCCACTCCCAGGGACACACTTGCTCCAACAAGGCCACAGCTACTTCAAAAAGCCACATCTCCAAATAGTGTCATTCCCTGGTGACCAAGTTTTCAATTATATGAGCCTATGAGGGCCATTCCTATTCAAACCACCACAATGTGGCTGTCACACTCTACAACAGAGAACTATCACAAAAAAAGCACAAGTTGGCATAATGAAAATATCAAAATGTCAGAAAGTTCTGCCCCAATAGATACATGTACATCACAGCTTCTGTAAATACAGCTCAAGGAATATGATGAAAGAGAGAGCACATGATTGTAAGAGACAGAATGCCAGGAAGTGAAGTCTATGGTGAAACAGGTACTTTTAGAGCCTGCATAGGCAAGCTTGAAGCCATGGCAATGTCAACGGACATATTAATGTTTAAGGGAGGAAATTTTGTTTGTTCCCCACTGGCTCTAAGAAACAGAAAAACAATATTTCTACCTCATCCTCCCTTTTTTTCTACTTTCCCTGTCAAATCAGAGACTAGTGAGGAAACAAGCATCGTCATCTCTCTTTTAAATGCTGTACTACTCTCCGTATAAAAGAAAGTTCTTTATATGCCAGCAGCTGAGTCTCAGTAGCATTTACATCACCCAGAGCAACAGCCATACAAACAACTCTACTAGAATAATCTTTGATTTTATCTGTATCTGTCCCTCTTTGGGCTACAATTGCATAGATGATTTTTCCTAGAAATATGAGAACAAGTGTCTATTAAGATCAGAACAGGCATTGATTCCACTCAGGTATGGCAATGTGAGCCAAGGAATTTATTTAGTTCTTTACAAGAGCATAGAAGAGTGCATATCTGAAAGGCCCATCCCATCGTGAACTCTTAAGAAAGATGCATCCTTGGAATTTGCTATGTTACTTTGTGCTAGTGAATTTTTAGTCAACTTGACACAAATTAGTGTCATTTGAGAAGAGAGAACCTCAATAGAGAAAATGCTTTAATCAGATTGTCCTGTGGGTCAATTTTTTTGTTTTATGAATGATTAGAAAAGCCCACCCCACTGTGACTGTTGGCATCCCTGGCAAGGTGGTCCTGGATGTAAGAGAGAGCAAACTGAGAGAGCCATCAGGATAAGCCAGTAAATGTTGTTCCTCTATGGCCTCTACTTCAGTTCCTGCTTCCAGGTTACGGCCTTGAGTTACTGCCCTAACTTCTCATAATGAACAACAGCTCTAAGCTGAAATAAGCCCCATGTTCTCCAAGTTTATTTTAGTCATGATGTTTATCATGGCAATAGAAATCTAAAGAGGACGCACTTGTAGATATGTCCACCAAAAACCCTCCAGGATCCAAGTAATTGTGTGTTATATAATCTGGAAGAGATATGTTGTAAATTTTTTTTTAGTCCCCTGAGCATTATAGGACTGCCTTTTCCTTTCAGGAGGGAATATGGCAATTTGAATGTAACATAATGCATCATACATAATCAAAAATTTTGAAAAATACCAAGATCTAAGAAATGCTGTTTTCCCCATACCCTTGTTTGATCTTTACTGTTATGTAAGAAATAGGAGGTTCTCATTTGTGACTCTTCATATGATTCTAAAATGTTATATTTAAAACAAGATAATTATACATGGAAAGTGTTTGATCTTAGCTGATTAGTATCAGGCACCAGAAAGAAAGAAAGAAAGAAAGAAAAAAAAAAAAAAAAAGAAAGAAAGAAAGAAAGAAAGAAAGAAAGAAAGAAAGAAAGAAAGGAAGAAAGAAAGAAAAAAGGAGACAAACAAACTTTGTTAACCTTGAGTTCATGTTCCATGTGCATATTTGCAGATGATATCACACCACCAGGCTTGTTAACTCATTGATGGTTTTGAAGTTATATGTTAACTTCTTGATTTATCCAACTTTGCATAAAAGCATGAAAACCTGCAAAGAATGATAGATGTCAAACCATTCCATTTCAGCAAGATGTCTGTGAAACGGACTTCAGTTTTGCTGCTGATACAGCTGATATGCTACTTTAGACTTGGAACTTGTGGAAAAGTGCTGGTGTGGCCAACAGAATACAGCCATTGGATCAATATAAAGATGATTCTGGATGAACTTTTGCAGAGAGGTCATGAAGTAACTGTTCTGACATCTTCAGCTTCCGTCCTTATTGAGCCTAGCAATGAATCTTCTATTAATTTTGAGATTTATCCTGTACCTTTGAGTAAAGATGATCTTCAATATATGTTTGAAAAATGGGTAACTCAATGGACATACGATTTTCAAGAACCCTCAGTTTGGACATATTATTCAAAAATGCAACAAATCTTTAGTGAATATTCTGATGTTATTGAAAGTTTCTGCAAAGCTGTAGTTTGGAACAAGAATCTTATGAAAAAACTCCAAGGATCTAAGTTTGATGTCATCCTTGCAGATGCTGTTGGTCCCTGTGGTGAGCTGTTGGCCGAAGTGCTTAAGACACCTTTAGTGTACAGTCTCCGTTTCTGTCCTGGATACAAATGTGAAAAGTACAGTGGGGGGCTTCCACTCCCTCCTTCCTATGTGCCTGTGGTTCTCTCAGAATTAAGTGACCACATGACATTTGTAGAAAGGGTAAAGAATATGTTGCATCTGCTATACTTTGACTTTTGGTTTCAACCATTTAATGAGAAAACCTGGAGTCAGCTTTACAGTGACGTTCTAGGTAAACTGTCTTTCACTGTTACAGTGAAATTCCAATTTTCTGCTTCTTAGAATGTGAGTGTGTGTGGATGAATATACAGTCATAGAATGAGGTTGCTAATTGTGAGCTGATAAAGCAAAAATAGAAGACAACTAAATAGCCTCAAAACAAGGCAGAACACTGTAGAGTTGTTCAGAACACTCCAGAAATTGCTCTCCATGCAAATTGAGACAAAGATTTCTCTTGGTAATCATTTGATGTATTCTATGTTTGTCTTAGTATAAAAAACTCTAGGTTTCAATGAATGCATTAGTGACTGTAGATATGTGCACTAAGGATTTCTAATTCGCTACTGTGACTATCTGTATAGTACTAAAGAAAATATGTTCCCTTATAAAAGTTTTTTCATTTGCAAATTGAAACATTTATCTAGAATGTCATGAAAGGTCTTTCACAATTAATCAGTATCTCTAATACCAGAAACAGTCAAGGGAACTTGGTTTTCTTGGAGTTTGAGACTTCTTAGATGCCTAAAACTGATGACTTAAAGCCTAAAATCTTGCTGAAAAAAAATGCAGGCATTTTTATTTGCTGGTTTTTAAAAATACCTTTCCATTAAATAAAATAACACCTAAATTAAGAGTAAGAAAAATTTGAATGTTAAATTTTTTATGAAAAATATCTAGCTGTAACTTCCACATATACAAATGTTAGTATTACCAATACCCTTTGATAGACCCAGTACAGCAGTACCTAAAAGGAATTTAGTCATACCTTAGAGATTATCATAGTGCATTTGAAGAATCAAGGATCAAGAAACTAGCTTCTAAAATACATAAAGTAGACTAAATATTCTATGAAAGCTGTTTTTTCAAGATTCTTTGCAGGAGTCAAAAAGCTTTGAAATTACTGGTGTAACTTTGGAAGACAATGTAATTTTTACACAAATTATTATTTAATTTTATAATAATATTAATAATATTAAATTTAATATTAGTACATCTATATTATAAACCACAAGTGAAACATTTCAAATTGTTGTCTACATTATATCAACTCATCACTAGAAATCATATGCTATATGCCAGACAAAATCCTTTCATCACTGCATAGTTTTAACTTGTTTTTTGTGGTGCAGGAAGACCCACAACATTATATGAAATGATGGGGAAAGCAGATATGTGGCTCATTCGAACTTACTGGGACTTGGAATTTCCCCACCCACTCTTACCTAACTTTGACTTTGTTGGAGGACTCCACTGCAAACCAGCCAAACCATTGCCTAAGGTAACCCTATATTGTTTCCTTTGATAAATTGCTTTGCCTTTTTCATGGAAACAATTCTTCAACACTCTTTCAGGATGTTGGGTTTCATGAGAGATATAAAAAGTGGATTAGAATTCTCTGACAACTGACATATACATTATTTCCATACTGTAACACATCTCTGTGTCTCACTACTGTTAAGCAAAATGTCATATCATTTTAGAATGTGGTCAGTGACTTAACGGCCTTTATGTAACTCATAAAAAAAGAATTAATATTCTATTCAAGAACATATAGTAAATGCCAGAGACATATGTTGAAAATCTAAAGAAAGAAGAATAAATTTCTCTAACAAAGAGAACCTATATTCTACTTGAACAGAGTATAAGAATGAAGAAACGTTGTATATAGTATAATAAATATTGTGTATTGTGTTACTAGAGGAAGACAGATATGTGGCAGACATATCCAACAGAGATCACAGGAGCTGTCCCAGAATCCTTGCATAGTTACAAAGTGTGCAGGATTAGATGAAAGAATGAAAGGGAGAAAGAGGAAAGCAGACAATTCCAAGAACCGTTGACAAAACTCCACACTCAGCCAAGCAGGATGACAAAGCAGGCAGGTCATGTGAGAGCCGTGTCTAGGAGCGCTCTACACAGCCTCTTGTTCTTCCCGACTTCCTCATAGTGTTTCTACAGTTATGTTTTTGCTGGTATTTTGTTTTTGTCTTTGTAGTTTCCACTTATAAAAGAAAACAAAGTTTCTCTTTGTGTGCCTGGCTTATTGCTTAACATGGTGACCTCTAATTAATATCTGGGTAGAACACAATTACGTTTATATACCAACACTTTTTTACACATTTGTATGTTGAAGACTATCTAAGCTAATTCCATAATTGGGACATTGTGGGTAGTGGTATAATAAACATCGTTACGTGTATTTTTTTTCTCTTTGTGACTCTTTCTCTCAGATGTCTCACCCAAGAATGGCATGTACATTTAGAGCTAATGTTATCTGTATGAAGAACCTTCTTTGTGTTTTTCATATTGGTATCACTTCACATTCCTAGCTATAACAAATACATAAATGTTCAATTTCATAATGTCTGTGGGAGTTTTTGCTATTGTTTTAATTTTTGTGACATACATGCTAACTGGATTACGATGGAATATCAACATATTTTGAATTGCATTTTCCTAATAGCTAAAAATATTAAAATAATTTTTCATATAATTATGGGTTACTTGTACCTCTACTGAGAATGGTCCCTTCTGGATCATTTATCTATGTTGACTGAATTATTTTTTTCTTTTGATATTAGAATTTTTTTTAATTCATCTACAGTCTGGACAAGTTTACAGATTTTTCCCCCAGTTTTTAAGAGTCTCTTCATTTTGATGATATTTTTCTTTGTTATTCAGAAGTTATTACTATAAAGTAGTCCCACTTGTCAGTTCCCAATTTATTCCCTGGGCTGATGGGATTCTAATCAATAAATTACTATCTTTTTCAGTGTCATTGAGTTCTCTTAGAGACATTTGAACTTTCAGTTTCCATTTTCATGTCTTTTATCCATTTTGAGTAAAATTTTCAGAGTGAGAGAGAGTTCTATTTTCATCCTACCTGTGCAGATAAATAGAATTCTTGGCACCATCCTTTAAAAGGTCTGTCTTCAACTTCCATGTGCAGTTTGTGTGCCTCTGTCAGGGTTATAGACAACCTGTAAACCTATTTCTCCTACTTGGTCTATATGTTTCTTTGCTTTTTCCTGGTTCTTTAAGAATTTTATAGAGTGTGTTTTCATTATAAAATCAGCTCTCCCTAACGTCTCCCAAATCCAGAGACGTTACCTGATCCTTACCCACTCTAACTTGTGTTCTCTTTTCTTTTTTCATTCTTTTAGTCAAATTCGTGGAATAAAAAATTTTAAATAGAAAAAGAAATCAACGTAATATGACATATGATAGATAGTGTTAATATGCCACTGAATTTTACTTACAAATATTTTATTCCATCTGTGTTCACTGGGGGTGTGTGGAAATTCATGTTGTTTTTTTTAACCAAGTTGTAACAACAGAAAAATACTAGCTTAATAAGAAGGCTTAACAAATGTTCCTTCTCTTTCCACTTTATTGAGCTACTTGGGTAGCATTGGTATTGTGTATTTATTATAGCTGGAGAGCATTCATCATTGAATCTACTTAGTGTGCAGTGTTTGACTTTGTAACAAATGTTCTTTAAAGTTCATTGTTCATTACTGTTGTGTGTGTTTACAATGAAGTTCTTATATCCTCAGTTTTCTTTCATTTCTTCAAGATTTCCAGATGTGTTAGTATATTGATTTTCTTTCTTTTTTGAAGCAGAGTTGGAGTTTATTAAAAGACATTTATAACATAGATTTTTTTTTGAGACAGGGTTTCTCTGTGTAGTTTTGCTGCCTGTCCTGATGTTGCTCTGTAGATCAGGCTGGCCTTGAATTTACAGAGATCCACCTGGCTCTGCCTCCCGAGTGCTGAGATTAAAGGTGTGTGCTGCCACTGCCTGGCCATTAATATAGATTTAAATCACAGAGATAAGTAGAGAGATGTTCATGCCAAGATGAAGACATATGCAAGTGTGTATATGAACTTTGCAAGGGAGTGTCACAATTGCGTTTACAGTAGCCATATTGGAAAAAATTGGAATTTTTATTCATTCCAAACCTTTTTTTTTTAATTTTTTTGAGTTTTTTTTTTTTTTTTTTTTTTGGTTTTTTGAGACACTACAGGGTTTCTTTGTGCAGCTTTGTACCTTTCCTGGGACTCACTTGGTCGCCCAGGCTGGCCTTGAACTCACAGAGATCCGCCTGGCTCTGCCTCTCGAGTGCTGGGATTAAAGGAGTGCGCCACCACCGCCTGGCCCAAAACTTTTTTCATATAATACATTGTGATTATCTTCTGCCAGATCATACCCACCTCCCCACCCATACTTTATGTTCTCTCTGTCTCTCTGTCAGTCTGTGTGTGTGTGTGTGTTTGTGAGAGAGAGAGAGAGAGAGAGAGAGAGAGAGAGAGAGAGAGAGAGAGAGAAACCACAAAAATGAAAATCAAAACAATGACCTAAAAATAAATAAGACCAAAAAATGCCCAAGCAAAACCAAGTGAAAGACAAAGCCCACAAAAGAAAAAAAAAAACATGGGATTTATTTTGTGTTGACCAAGTACTCCTGGGCATGGGTCCTGCTCTAGGATATGACTGATTTACCCAGTGATATTCCAATAGAGAGAGAACTGATTTTCCCCTTTGCTATCAGGTATCAATTGCAAAAAGCTTCCTAGTTAGAAATGTCCATGTCCATTTTCCACTCTCAGTGCTGGGACCTCATCTGGCTTGGACCTGTGCGGGTCTTACGTGTGTTGCCACAGTCTCTGTGAGTTCATATATTCCTCAGTCTTACTGTGTCTGGAAGACACTGGGATGTCATCCATTCCTTCTGGCTTTTACAATCTTTCTGCCTCCTCTTTGTGTTGTTTTTAAAATACCTCCTAATGATCATCTAAATTTCAGTGATACCTCTAATTTACTTATTTTGGTCAGTTGCACTGTAGCACAAATGTACTCTCAATGAATATTGAGTACTGAAGCAATGGAACCACTGATCTTCTTAAAATAATTCCAGTTATTACATGATTTCCTCTCATAAAGTTTGTCGTGGTGCTTCCTATGCTGCCATTCATTTGCAATGTCACATCTCTCTTTGTAGGAAATGGAAGACTTTGTTCAGAGCTCTGGAGAACACGGTGTTGTGGTGTTTTCTCTGGGTTCAATGGTTAGAAATTTAACAGATGAAAAGGCCAATATAGTTGCATCTGCTCTTGCTCAGATTCCACAAAAGGTGAGATAAAATGTCCACTAGGTGGACAATTGTATTATAAGTGTATTGAACTCTGAAAGGTTTTAAGTAGAGAAAATTCCCGTGTGAAAAGTAAATGAAGGTCTCTTTCCTATTCATCTCTAACACCATTTTAAAAAGAAAATTTTAAATTGTTCAGGGTGAAATATTAATCTGGTTCTGATTGACCTCATGATCTGAAAGTTTGTAATTACATCCATGCATGGTTGTGCATAGTGGTCATCCTGGCTCTTAGAGACCAGAGTGGGTCGTTTTTTCTCATGTTTAAAGCCAGTTTATACTTCGTGGTGATTCCCAAGCTTTTCATATCTCAAAGAAGTGAGAAGAAAAAGAAAGAAAGGATGGGGAGAGAAAGAGGAAATAAAATAAAAAGAAATATACTGGAGCTGGTGTGATGACAGTGGTTAAGAGCATTGGCTGCTCTTCCAGAGAGCCTGGGTTTGATTGCTAACACTTATATACTAACTAGCTCACAACTGTCCCCAACTCAAGTTCCAGGAGACCTAATACATTTTTCAGGCCTCCAGGTGGCATACTCGTAATGCACAGAATTACATGAGGGCAAAACACCCACATACATAAAATGAAACACAAATGTTTGTAAAGAAAAGGGGAGGTATCTTCTTCCCAATGGCTGATGTAGGAAAATATAAGAGAAAGGATGATGAAAATAGGTCCTGACCCTGAAGTGAGCCTGGGATGATAAAATTATGATTGCATCTACAGGAACTCTGCTTCTAGCACATCAAGTGAACATCTTTTTCTGGTTGGTGAAAAAGCATGGAATTTAAGATGGAGTCAGGTATAGCTCAGTATGCCATAGGAAGATTCTAGAAGCTCCTGACTCCATATACTTTTGTATGGTTGACTCACTTTCTAAAAGCATCACTCTTTGGCTGTTTGGGGGCTGAATTTACTCTAGTACTTGATAACAGTTTCTCCTGTTCATGAAGATAATTTTTATGTAAACTTATTTTATGAGATACAGAGCATATAGAAAGTGAAAATGAACAGTTCGTATTCATTTGTGAGGATTGCTTGTATTTCAGAACTCAGTTTGGCACTAAACATGATTTGTATTTAGAGCAATAGAAACCACGCTTAAAAATTTCCTATTGACAAAATTTTCCCTTGGGCAGACCTTAAAGTTTCATCTGAAACAAAGTAAATACACTTTCTAGTAAGAAAGAAATTATTTCTCAGAATAGTAAACTATATCAATATAATACTTTATGCATCAAAATTAAACCTAGTATAATGAGTAGACTAGGGAAGATGGGAATATAGGTAAAATTATGTGCTCACAACTCAAAAAGATAAAAATTAACATTGAATTTGTAATATAAGAGCTAGAATTTTATATAATATATACATAATCATAAATTGTTACTAGTTGTATATAGTAATCCCATTCAGGGTTGCATAATTTTCATGTATGCTTGAATTTGTCATTAATCATTAGACCTATATAAATTAGCATGATGAAATATCATGCTCAAGTTATTGTAAAGCTATGTACAGAAAATGTATTATTTATGTCAGTCTTTTAAATCTCATATTATTTTAAAACCCCCTGTCTTAATTTCATTAGCAATCATTTGGATAATGTTCAACTGAATAATCTCCTTGGTTCTCCAGAATCAAAATATACCAAAGCTTTTGAATTTCTGCAATTGAATAAGGTACTTTCTGTGTATAACAGGTTCTGTGGAGATTTGATGGTAAGAAACCAGAGACCTTAGGATCCAATACTCGGCTGTACAAGTGGATCCCCCAGAATGACCTTCTTGGTAAGACAGAGGTCAATAAAGTAAGAAAACAAAGGGAGCAACAGATCTTGAGGACAGTAAAAAACAAAGCAAATATATTTATATTTATTTTCATAAACACAGAATGGAAAATAGCTACCTATAAATTCTGTCATCCTACTATTAAAAATCATCTTCTCTATGTCTAAAATCTGCATACCTTCAGTTCAGCTGTAATAACTGCTCTAAGAATTGTCCAGAGACTGTATGAATTGCCCCTTTGTATCTTGTTTCTTAATTTTGCATGATTTTTATTCTACTACAGGAATATTTCCAATGCCACTGAGAATCTTAGCCCCTCCTGTTGCACCAACTCTGTATTTTCTATGCAAACAAGTGTACTATCTTTACCACAAAGTGCTAATATATTTCATGAGAAATTGCAGCTTGATTGGCCTTAGATTCCACCATCTACTATCCTGGTGACTATACACTACACACCAGACCCAGTGCCACAACCATTTCTATATAGTCTACTTGCCTTCTGGGTTTTAATGTGGTATTTTAATAAATAAATTTCACACAATATATTTTAGTCAAATTAAACCATCAACTCCATTTATCTTAACTCTTCTCATATCTACCCTCTTCCTTCCCACCCACTCCCTTTTTTTCTCTTTCTCATTGGTTATTATTATTGCATCTGTACATACATATGGATATACAAATACAATCTGCTAAGTCCATCTAGTATTCCTGCTAGGTTTCTGAACTCACCATTGGTATTGGATAATAAATTTGAATTCATCCCTGGGGAAAACTGATTCTCAGCAGTCATTATGTGTCTGTCTCTCTTCACCTGGGGACAAGGCACTGTAACATTTTCTGCCTTTACATTGGCACGTCAACTGGTATATTCATTGTACTGATCTTGTTTAGGCTACCATAAAATCAAGATTCAGTGACTGCAGTCTCCCTGTGCTGTATGAAGACACAATCTCAGAGCAGATTTCCTTGTCCTATGATTCTTACCATATTTCCACCCCCTCTTCTGAAATGTTTCTTGAGCCATATGTATATATATGTGTATATATATATATGTATATATATATGGGGTTTGTGTTATAGATGTATCATTTGGAGCTTCATACCCAAGGTCAGTTGTTCTCTGTATTTTGACAACTTTGGCTTTCTGTAATGGTCTCTGTGTGCTGCAAAAATAAGATACTTTGATGGGGGATGAAAACTACACATACATGTGGGTATAAGGTAAGGATTTCAAATGCAATGAGAAATGACATTGGTTTAGAAAAGTGTCAGTTGTTGGTTCTTCTCTATGTTCAGAGCCCCAGGGGAAATTCACAACTGGTACTATTAACCTAACCATGTGGATTCTTTCCCACTGGATCTTTTACCCACAATCTTCCTTTCATTTTCGTATGTGACAATCTTGTTTCATTTTGCAGTTCTCCAGACACATACTACTTCTTCCAAATACTCTTCTCCTATCTCCAGCTCACTTAAGAGCTTGATATAAACTTCCAAAGCAGTTTCACTGCAAATTTGTGGCTATAGCATGTTTCCTATGAAAACAGTCCCTTTGGAACCCTTATATTTCACTTCTTTTTTAATATTTTAATAAATGATTATGTAAAAATAATTCTAATTGTAGGTCATCCAAAGACCAAAGCTTTTATAGCTCATGGTGGAACCAATGGCATCTATGAAGCAATCTATCATGGCATTCCTATTGTTGGTATTCCATTGTTTGCGGATCAACCTGATAATATTAACCACATGGTAGCCAAGGGAGCAGCTGTTAGAGTGGACTTAAACACACTGTCAACTACAGACCTTCTCACTGCCTTGAGGACCATCATTAATGACCCTTCGTGAGTACAACAATTTTTTGTTTGAATTTATTTTTCTTTTTTGAAACAAGGTCTCACTGTATAATCCCACGATCGCCCCTGAATTCATAGAGATCTGCCTGCTTCAGACTACTATGTGCTGGGATTAAAAATTGGTCTCATCATGCTTGATGTATGTAACTACCTCTTTAAAAATATTGATAAAAAGATTATTATCATCATATTATTGATTTTAATCCCATTTGAAGGAGAATAACAGTAAAAAACTTCAAATTATTTTGCATATCTGAAATATGTACCTGTTTTCAATAATAAAGTTACTCTAAATTCATATTTGACTTCATATGAGAAATGATTAGTCAGAAAATTCTCTGTATATGTGTAAATAATGTTTCAAATATACATCTACTGGTAGCAAGGACATTAAAATATAACAGAATATACATAATGAAGTAATCATGAACTTTAAAATTTATGAAAGAATGTTTAAATGTTTATCCATACTTTCTAAATCTATAAAACTTTTGGTGAAATTTTATATTATTTCTATCATTTTTTAAACAGGGTCTCATTTTGTAGTACTGAGCTGGCCTCAAATTCAGAAAGATTCTCTTGACTCTGCCTCCCAAGTGCTCAGATAAAAGGCATGTTCTACCAACCCTGCAATAGAAGCTGAAGTGACTAGCTTTGAGAAAATGTGTTCTAGGTTCAATTTTATGACATCTCAAAAGCCCTTAGAATAGTTTAGGTCATAAAATTAATATCAATTCTCACTGAACTCATAGCCAACATCTAAGCCAGTGATGTCAACAAAAGAACCCATGTTAGTTGAAATTTATGTTAAGGCCTGGACAGTGAGATTAAAACAATCACACTGGAATGAGAGACAATATTAAATTCATAACATACCCAGGGAACATCATTAGTACCTTCAAGGTTTACCAGAAGAATGATGTACCTAATCAGAAAGTCCATAGGCAAAACAACAGGAGAAAATGATGTTGGTTCTTACAGACACAGTCTCCATGTCTGGGTGCAGAATTGGATTTGTTTTTTCATTATGTTGAGAATTCTGGTGGAAGTTCTGTGCAAGGAAGAATCATACTTCAAAAAGTGTTTTCAAACATGAATCTAGTTTTAGATTGAAATTAGAAAACAGAGGTAAGAGAGGAGAAACTGAAACTGGAGAGGAGATATCCAACATGACACCTTACCCTGTGATGCTTAAGACAATTCTATGTCTACTTCACTTATTTGTCTTATATCATATGTTACATGTTCCTCACATGAAAAATATTTAACTCTCATTACTAATGATCTCTTGCCAATTTGAAAATATGGCTGAACTACAAAAATTTCAATTAAGAATTAATATTTTATGGGAATAAAGCAAAAACAGACCCAGCACTTGTAACTGAGATGCCAGTGGATGCTGGTAATCTCATCAATTGGAAAGTGGATAGAGAGATTCATTAAGTATTTTTAAGGCCAGTGTAACCTACACAACAAGTTCAGAACAAACTTGTGCTACACGAGACTGACTCAACTCTCCTCCTTGCCGCTCAACTCTTCTCCCTGCCACTAAACTGTCCATCCTGTCCCTCAACTATCCTCCATGTCGTCTGATAAACCACAGCAAATCTATTTGGTTATTTTTGAGTCACTTTAGGGGCTTTTTCCCAAACCAACAAATGTTAGGTAGGCCTGAAAATTAGTTTCATTTTAATTTTAGTTGTACACATTGTCCCATTCAGGTATAAAGAGAATGCCATGCGGCTATCAAGAATCCAACATGATCAACCAATAAAGCCCCTGGACAGAGCCATCTTCTGGATTGAGTATGTCATGCGCAACAAAGGAGCCAAGCACCTTCGTGTGGCAGCACATGACCTCACCTGGTTCCAGTACCACTCTCTGGATGTGCTTGGATTCCTGCTGGCCTGTGTGCTGACTGTGATGCTCATCATCATGAAGTGTTGCCTCTTTTGTTGCCAGAAGTTTACTAAATCTGGAAAGAAGAAGAAAAGGGAGTAGCTGATGTGGGGAGGACTGCTAACGTGGGTAAAAAGAAGAGAAAAGAGTAGCTGCATTGAAGCCTCATGAGTCCTGAGGGATGAGCATCTCACAGCTGCTCCCAGCAAGAAGAGGTTGAGATGCCAGGTCTTTCCCTCTAAGAGAAGACAGTTTCAGGTCTTCAGTAAAGAAGGCTTTCACGTATTTCATATGTTTAAGATGTGCAAGATTTCATGACAATTAGGCACTCAGTGTTATAAAACAAAAATCATGTGTTCACTTTAGAATGTTTTGATGTAATTGAGGAGCTATCCCCAATAATAATCACTGAGATTAACTGTGGTTCACAAAAGTCACATGGGCATAGAATCTTTGAAAATACCATGTTATGTCATGTAAGGGTAAATATGTCATGTTAGGTAAAGGTAATTTCAGTTACCTTTACAAATATCCAGCCTGTTCTGACTTCATTTGGTGGACTATTTTCTTTCTTGTTTTTACTACTCATGAATAATAGTGTTCAGGAGCCAAACTTCTGAAATAGACTTGGTTTTCCCTTTGTATAAGGGAAGCTGTTGTTCTGGTTATTTTCCTGTACACACACCACACATCCTTTATTTATTAAAGGACCTGTGATGAAGGTTCCTCCTCAAAACAGAGGCATTTCTCCATGCGCATTCAAACAATTATTTCTACGTGCTTGTGTTAAATTCCATTACTTGGGAGGTTCTACAACTTGACAGGATTATTCATTCACTCTCCATCTTATCCCTTAGTCACAACTGACCTGGACACTATCACTCTTATTTCAACCTTTTGAAGTAGACATGAGCTGTTAAAAGTTCCATTTTCTCTCACTTATAAAGTGCACAGGGTTAGCTACAATAAGCCGAGTCTCTAGATAAATGCAAGACAAAAGAAAACTGTATCTAGCACATGATGTGGATCCATATGTTATAGATAAAAAAAATGCATTGTGCAGTGCAGAATCACAAAAAGATTTACCCCATTGCCACTCTAATCACTGCAATAAAATATCCATACATTCTAAAATGGACTCCTGCAATGGTGAGCATTGAATTTCAGAATGGACATGAGGACTTCTGTTCAAATGTAAGCAGAACCTCACTGGAGCACCAGGTGAAACTAACATGATTTTATCAACAACAAGAAGGAAATCCTGAATGAGAAGCACACACACTGAAACTAGAAACCATTCTACTACCAATGCAGAGCTGAGCCCTTCAACCATAAACAGTTCAAAGCTCAGAGTTCAGGAGCATCAGGAACCCTAGTTAGTGAAGATAAAGCGAGCCCTGGGACAGCTGTCACACCTGTAAAGTATACTGACCCCAAAAGGTTGGGAAATGAATTATGATCAGGTTACCCAGGGAAGGAAGCATCAGTCCTGGACAAGGACAGAAAGGAAGAGTAACTGCAATAGTTTAAAGTGTACAACAAAAGGAGAGATGAGAAAGCTGGTCAATAAAGAGCCCTTGCTCCTTCTAAACCCAGGAGAGAATGTGACCCCTGTGTCTTAACCCAGGGCAATACAAACAAGCTGATGCTAGAAATACATGAAATAAGGAAGAGAGATTAAGCTGGCCAAGAGTGTTCTGTGGATTGAGAAACAGGCTATGTCAATGTGCCCAGGTTACTGGATCTAGCCCTAACGGCAACACTGGCCAAAAGAAAACTTTGCTTACAAGGGTTGAGAGAACACTGTTCAAAGGGAGAAACATATCTGATAACATGCAGAGGGTCCAGCCTTCTGCAGGTCAGGGAGACTGGGAAAGGGATGCAGAGTCAGCGAGAAAAACACACAGACGTCTTTTCTGAGGGATTGTAGCATGAATCTTAAAGAGTCTTATTAATAAAAATCAAAGCTGGAGTCAAGTATTGGGATGAACACTAGAAGGTCAGAGAGACAGAACGGGCCACAGCTAACCTCACCTGACCAACTTCTCAGCTGGTCTTGTTTCCTCAGACTGGAAGCCTCTGTGTCCTCATATCTAATGGCTCTCAGCTGAACTGTGCTGCTAGAAGCCTGAAAGCTTAACTAGCCAAATGCTTCTAGTTTCTGGTCCTCACACCTTATATATCTTTCTGCTTTCTGCCTCACTCCCTGGGATTAAAGGCTCGCTTTCTGGGATTAAAGGCGTGTGTCACCATGCCTGGCCGTTTCCAATGTGGCCTTGAACTCACAGAGATCCAGAGGGATTTCTACTTCTGGAGTGCTAGGATTAAAGGTGTGAGTGCCACCATTTTCTAGCCTTTGTAACTAGTGGCTGCTCTGTCTCTGACCCCAGATAAGTTTATTAGGGTGCACAATGTTTTGGGGAACACAACACCACCACAAGGGATAAAAGTTTTTATATTGTTTTATTATTCTTTTTGTTTGTTTGTTTGTTGTACTCTTTTTTTTGTTCTGTTTTTCTACTCTGGTATTCCCCTTTCTCTTTCCTGATGACTTCCTTCCATCTACTTCCTGATGTCTTCCTTCTACATCCTTACTTCTACCTATATCTTTTCTGTTTTTTTCCTTTCATGTATCTTTATTTTTTCCATTACAGCTTATATACCCCAGCAGAATCTTTCAAGCAATATAAGAATTACAATGTGGTCTCATTCTATTTGTATGTGAATGATTACAGTGAATACAGGTAAAAAAGAGCATATTTTCTATAGTCCTTAAATGTTTAAACATTTTATATATTACAAGTGGAAAACGAATTATCCCCAAGAACCCACATACACTTAAACATTTATCTTTTAGACTTCTCATAGATGAGGAGTCTTTCAGCTATAACTGTTTACATAGGCAACAGTCTTTATAATTGGCAGAAAAACAGATTACTGGTTTTACTTTTCATATTTCAGAGTCCAGTCTAATTATCTTAACTAACCATGCAATTCTTTGTTTTCTAGTTACAGAAGTCATTATTTAAAACTTTGTTTTAGCTATGATGCACACCAAAATCCATGAACACATTTCCCACTATCAAAAAGAGCTAACTTCTGGGACTCGATTGTTTTCGTTAATCATTAACTTAAGTCACTCTCTGTATGGCTCCTCCAGAGAAACTCGAAAGTCCTAGCTGTGTGGCATTTCCTTGTTCTTATTTTCTATCCTCTATAGCCCCTAATTATGAGGGGAGAGACAACACTGTATCCTATCTTTACCTATATTAATTTTCCCCATCATAATCCCTTACTATATTTGTTACAAACCCTTAATAATTAAAATTATATTTAAACTAACACCATTATTGCATATTATATAATAACATATTATTACTTCAGTTAAACAGTACAGCTTAAAATGAAATCATCTGCATAATAATCCACAGGTGAAAATGCCCAGTAGAACAGGATATATCCATGAGATAATCTCACTACACTAAAGGCAGTAAGAATCCCCATGTGCCCATTCACATTGTACCAATAAAAGAAAAAAATGGCAGCAGCAAACATGTAAAGACATAGCAGTAACTAAAGACATTCTGAAGCCAAAGCCATATCATCTGAGATTGACCCATCAGTGCCCTGCTTCCTGGTGGGCTGAAATTCCTGAATTCAAGTGCCACCTGCTGCTCCTCTAACACAGCCATGAGCAGTAACAAAAGCAAGCTCCGACTCCTGCCAATATTTGGATTCAAAACAATCCTAAGCAGAAACCAAAATTCACCTTAGATGAGATCAAGTGGTTTCAGGGTGATGTGCCCATTCCAAGGTTTACTTTAAATACCCTCTTTCTGCCCTGGTTAGCAATTAATTCCAGTCTCTGCATATCTAGAATTAAAAGGCACATTGCCCCATTAATTTCCATACTTCCGTTTTTACTTTATAAAAATTGCTTTGTAATGGGATTCTAATCCCTCTCCAAGCCTACTTGCTCAGAATTACATTTTAGGTTCCTATTTTTAAATCATATTTATTTAATAAGGATAATAATTTAATAGGATAGCATCAGGATGCTGGGCAGGCCAGGGTATTATCTGCTTGTTGGCCAGGATTCCAAGAAGTGGGTCTGAATGCTAACATTCCTCCCTTTTGATTATTATAAAAAGGTGAGTTATAGATAGCAAGTGGGGGGAGTAGGGGCACGTATTTCTTAAGACTGCTTCCTGCTGACAAGCGGCAAAGTGGGAAGGGGAAGTTGGAGGTCGATGTCATGCCTGATGGGAGGTGTGAGTAAAGAAGCTCTTAGTTAGCTGTCATAGTGGAGTCCTCAGGCATCTGTTCCTTGAGGGAGCTGAGAAGGCAGGTTGCTAGCAGAAAAAATAGCAATGGTCCTATGAATGGGGCTAGCCATGGGAAGAGTGAAAACTGCCAGAAAGCATGGGACAGAGAAGTGCCTTGGTTGTACAGAAGAGGCAAGTGTGAGTGAGTGAGACACTAGAACAGATATGTTCTTTATTGGGACATCTTGGAAAACTAGGTTCCAGTTGCTGGGTTGGTGCCCACTTGAGCCTGGAGACAGGGGTACCAGCAGTGAATTGAGGGATGATGTGTTTTTCATGAGTACTTGAGCCATCCCATCTGCTGTTTCTCTGGAGGTGGGAAACGCCTTTATCCATCCTGGGAAAGTGTCAGCAATTCCGGAGATAACAGAGTTTTTATGAGTGGGCATGTGGGTGACGTTAAACTGCCAGTATTTGCCTGGTCGGTGTCCTCAGTTGCTACAGTGGCTGGTGGTGTATCTGGAGGGTCTTTGAGGGTCTGGCCTTGGCACAAGTCTTGCAGGAAGGGTCAATCTGTGCAGGGACCTGCAAGTGTTTGTAAAACAATTGGCACAGATTTACATCTTGGTATCATAACAAAAGCTATGGCTTTGGGTTAAAAAGCATGAACATATCTTTAAATCTATAACCAGAGGAAACTGACTAAATGGAAGTGGTTGAGTGAGTGAAGGAGGAGGGCAGATCCCTACCCTCTCCAATACTAACCTGTCTCCTAAAAGCTGGTAACTGTAAAATCCACAGAAATTTAAGGACTCCCAAGACTGTCTGTAGTCAGTGATCTATCAGTTTTATCAAAACTACGTTTATCAATGTTAAACTTTTGAACTTCTGAAGTTACACCTGAAACCAGTTTTATCCTGTACCATGGAGTCTGTGAATGAGTCACACCTGCCTGTACTTTTGACAGGAAACTTATTAATGAGCTACCAAGGATTGGGGGAGAGATGTAAAATTTGCAAATCCTGGTCATCAAACACCATCAGATCTGAGAAGGATAAGTAAGTGAACAGAACTGAGACAGCTTTCTAGCTATGTAGGGAGTCCCAGGTTTCTCTTAAATGGGAAGGAGGGGGTCCCATCCACCCCTGTGACAGGAATTGACAAGGGAACTGTGGGACCCAAGGAAGAGGTTAGAACAGAATAGGTAGCTCCTGAGTCCAGTAGAGGGTCAATGGACTTACTTGCTACCTGCAGTGCCACCACAGGCTTGGAGAGGGAATGGGAGTCACCAAGTCTAGATGCCATCAGTCTTCCACCAGGCTTAGAAGTTCAAAGGCTGGGCGAGTCAGATGCCAATGTTGCTGAGGCTGGACTTCCATGACATGGCATAGAGGATGAGCCAGCATGGGGCATTCAGATCTCCAGTGTCCAGGCTGTCAGTAGACAGGGCATGGCCTTGTGGGTGGCTGAGGATCAGGGTGATACTGTGACCAGTGGCCCCAGGCTGCATTTGACACAGGCTCCTGGTGGTGTTGACTTGGGCTGAGCTCCAGCAGGATGGAGCCTCATGGTCAACTTCCCTTGTCTCCCATGTGTGGGGGATGAGGGGTCTAGTGGCTTCAGGGCAGCTGCCAAGGCATGGGCTTGGAGTGTAGGTTTCTGTTGCAGCTGTGCCCATTGGGAAGACTCAGCTGTCTCTTTTTGGGCGTTAAAAAAAAGCCAATTTTGCCAATTCCTGTATGGGAATTGGTTACCCTCCTCAGCCCCTTTAAAGCTTACAGAAGCATCTGATTTGACCCACCTGGAAACAAGGAGCATTTATATCGGCTGGGCTGGTCCATATCAGCTTTTAGTAAGTCCATGGCTTACACGTTGAAGTCAGCACGTAATGGGTATCTAGACTCATACCTTTGAGTCCTAGCAAAATTACAGATTTGGGCTAAAAATATGTACATTTTTTTTGTTTGTTTAGAGAATCAGGTACAGATTCGACAGAGATGTCTTTGGCCTGATGAGTTTAGGTTTATATTTAGAGGACAACCCCCCCCCCCCCAAAAAAAAGTCTAAAATCTTGAGCTTGTGACCCAAACAGTATCAGAATTTTATTAATGTTAAAATCTGAACTTTTGAAATCTTAATATAACAATATCATAGAAGGGGAAAGTAATCTGAAGCATTTAAATCATCTATTTATATCTTTGTAACTGGTATTTACACACTGACTAATTTTCTGAGTCCTTCAAAGCATGCATGGACTTTTATATCTTATAACATGTTTTTTAATCAAGAGACCTAATAGCTTTAGAACAAGTAAGGCTTGATTTATTATCTATAAAATGAGCTGGCAAGTTGTCCATAGCCTTATAAATTGAAATATCTTAAAAACTGTTAAGAAAAAAAAAAGGTTTAAAATCCCTCAGATGTCTTCCTGTGATATCAAAAATAAAGTACCCTCTTGTTTTTAGAAATAGTTAACTTTCCAACAAGGCAAACAAAACTTTTTCACAACCTCTCAAGCATGTTAGTGTTGCTACCCTATCACGGATTGGGAGAAGCCCCACCCACAGGCATGGGAGCTGGGAGGCTGAAGTGGCAGAGCGGGGAAGGCGGGTCCTCTGGGGCTACAGGAGCTGCTGTCTCGCCCATAGAGAAGTGCAAGCTGGTGACATCCCAGAGGGAGAAGACAGTATTGACAAGGCAGCTCAGGATTCACTGCAGCATCTGGAAGGCAGGCTCTTTGCTCAGGGCCTGCCGGGTCTCAGGGCCCCCTGTTCTTAGGAGCACATTCAGAGCCTCAGAGGAGTGCCAGACTGTGACCGAAGCCTGCAGAGGCCTGCAAGGCTGGAGTCCTCAGCCCTGTAAAACAGTGCGTGGCACTGGGCAGAGCTTTCTTGCCCCAGAGCAGACCTCCCACATCCCCAAACAGACGACCTAAGCACTGGGGCACCCCACCAATACTTGAGCTCTGGACAGGAAGTGACTTTCTGCTGCCGTTAGTAAAGATGGCAATGAGGCCATATGACCTGTCTGGGGGCCTGACCACGTGGTCATATTTTTTTTTTTTTAACAAGACAAACAGAATACGTAAATGCAAGCATTAAAAACTCAGACAGAAACACAGTCACATGGCCACATCCATCATACACTTCCATTTGCAAATATGAAATAAACTTTTTTTTTTTTTTTAACAGAATGACAGACAAAACTTCCCAGGAAAGGTCAGGTGACAAAAATCCAGAGAGAAAAATTTACAGTCAAGGAGGAGCAGGAGATAAGGGAGCCATCAAGCAGTGGCAGCAGGAGCTGCTGAAGGGCGGGTGGGTGCCAGAGGCAGGGGCTCAGTTCCTGGAGGCTGCCCTGGTGCCATGAGCGCTGGCAGCAGTGACCACAAGCAGGAGGGAGGGAGGAAGGGATGAGAGTGCATAGCCCAAGAATCCTTGGATCTGACTAATTTCCCATGAGTGAGGCAGAAGGTGAAAGCTGCTGAGCAATTCATCAAAAGCAGAGCAGGGGACCGAAGGACACTGAGGTCTGAGAAACAGGACAGCACAGGCTGCTGCAATGTTTCCTCAAACAGAGAACAAGATGCCCAAATAGAGTGCCCAGCACAGGGATTTCAAGGTGAGACAAATCCTCATTTGTGGGAAATGAACAGAAGCGGGGTAGGGGCTTACCAATTTGAAGGTTCCAGGGATCCTAGTGCGTCTCAGACTGCGCCAGGGGGGCCTCTGCAGAGCCATATAGCACCTATGTTGTAACAGGGAGAGAGAGAGAGATCTTAGCAAGTTTGAGCCAAGGTGCCCCACTGCTGGTGAGAGACAGAGATGCTATGCAGACAACACTCAGTGAAGAGTTTTATTTGGTGGGGGGAAGAGAGAGGGGAGAGGGAAAGAGAGGCAACGAGAGAGAGAGAGACAGAGAGAGAGAGAGAAAGAGAGAGAGAGAGAGAGAGAGAGAGAGAGAGAGAGAGAGAGAGAGAGACAGAGAGAGACAGAGACGGAGAGACAGAGAGAGAAAGAGAAAGAGAAAGAGAGGGGGGAGAGAGGGCGGGATGCACTACCTAGGGGTGGGGTGGGGGAGAGAGAGAGAGAACGAAGGGGGAGGAGTCCTTTCTTAAAAGGAACATAGTACACCATCAAGATGCTTATTGGCTAGGATTCCAAGAAGTGGGTCTGAATGCTAACATTCAGGTAAGGGTTGAGATTAAAATATAGAACAGGACAAACAGATGGTACATGACTATTAATAAAAAACAATAGTAGTAAAAAACTGGGAACAAAGCTAATGTCAATCAAATTAGAAATGAGGAAGTATGGACTTTTTGTTATAAAATGGACTTAACATTACATAAAAGAAACTTGGCTGCCTCCTATCACATGACAGTACGTTAAAACCTTATAAACATCAAGGCCAGTCACGAAGTGCCACCATTTTACACCAGCTATACAAAAAGCTCAGAATAAGGAAACAAAGGTGTTTCATGACTTTGGAATCACAGCCTGTGTGTCCCAACAAGCCAGTTACACACTATATATATGCCAATCAAAGAAGCTATATCAATTGTGAAATACAGAAAAAAAAACTGATTTATTCATCATGATCACTTCAGAAAGAGAGGCAGAGAGAGCCAGTCACCCTTACCCAACTCCATCTTTGGGATTCTGATAAGACATATGCACAGCTAAGCAGTTCAGCCATGATGTGGTCCCTTGCCCAACACTTTCTTAGCTTCTAGGCTCTTCAGAAATGTTATTCCCCCACCCCCCCAGCTTGTAAATGGCCCTGGAGGACAGATTCCTCCAGAGCACATCCAAGGCATCAGACAATTCTTCTCCCAGCAGGTCACCAGGAAAGTTCTAATTCTTAGTGTCCATTCTTTCAATAGTCTGATAGTCAAGGGGGGAGGCAGAAGTGTCTCATTAGAATATATTCACTCCTGCCATGATGACTACCTGATTGGGTACAGCTGAAACCAATGGAAAGGCTAAAAGAACGGGACTTCTATCCAGGATAAAATCAGCTCTAAATTTAATTGCAGTGTTTATAATTATAAGGATCTACTCTGGACCTCTGAGTCATATATCTAAAATAATTAAATAGTATGGTAAATGATTGATGTTGCCAACCTCACATGAAAAAACACTAAACTATAAAATAAAAAAAAATATGACTCAATAGCTATGTCTTTACTCCAGTTTCTTATCAAGGAAGCTATATTAGAAGGAGAGAGAGAGAGAGATCTCATTTTCTACTGTTCTTCAAGTACATTATACATTCAAGTCCACTGAGAATCAGAAATCATTTCACATGTTCATATCTGCTCCCCCTCCCCCATTTTGCATTTGATATCCAGAGGCTGTGACTATCCCATGTAACTGAAGTTTCCTCTGGTCCTGCCCAGCCCCACAGAACCCACAGCCACTTTAAAAATAATTACTTCAGTTATAATCCCATGTGTATTTGCTTTGGTAGGTACAAGTTATACTTTAACTAATTGATTATTACTCTGTCTATATCTGCAAGAGTTGAGCAATCACCATTTGAAAGGCAGCTTTGAATTTAATCAAGATGTCTGTGAAAATGACAGCAGCTCTGCTCCTACTACAGCTGAGTGGCTTCTTTGGATCTGGGAGTGGTGGGAAGGTGCTGGTGTGGCCAATGGAATACAGCCATTGGCTCAACTTAAAGGTAATGCTAGAAGAACTTGTGAAGAAGAGCCATGAAGTGACTGTTCTGAGACCTTCATCTTCCCTTTCTTATGAGGTTGACAACACATCTACTATTGAGTTTGAAACATACCCTTCATCATATTCCACGGCTGATGTAGAGGAACTTTTCATGGAGTCAATCAGGAAACAAATTTATGAGATGCCAAAGAAATCATTTTGGAGATACTTTTTAATGTTGCAAGGAGTGGTTTGGAAGTATTCAGATTATTTTGAAAGTCTCTGCAAAGATGTAGTTTTTAACAAGGAACTCATGACAAAACTACACAATTCAAGTTTTGATGTTATTGTAGCAGATCCTTTCATACCCTGCAGTGACCTGCTGGCTGAGATTCTCAAAATACCACTTGTGTACAGTCTCCGCTTCTTTCCTGGGTCCACATATGAAAAGTACAGTGGAGGACTCCCACTGCCTCCTTCCTATGTGCCTCCTGCTATGTCAGAATTGAGTGATCAAATGACATTCATGGAGAGGGTGCAAAATGTAATCTATGTGCTTTATTTTGACTTTTGGTTTCAAACATTTAATGAGAAGAGATGGAATCAGCTTTACAGTGAAGTATTAGGTAAGTGCCTGTTCAATTGGGATTGTTGCATTCTAAATTTGCTGTGTCATTGAAGGTGAATTTGAAACAACAGTGTTGACAGCAGAAGGATTTATCTCTCCTAAGTAAAATGGTAAAATGTCTGTGAAATTCTCTGTCATATTCAAAGCATTGTGGAAAACCTTATGTCCCAATGTCAAATGCAAAGCCTTGGCTATAACATGACCAGGAATCTTCAGGAAGGCATACACCACAAAACAAAGCTTTGATAATTTCTCTAACAAATAACATCCATGGGGCATTTTACCTCATGTTTAAAACAGTAGGTTTACCTGGGTTGTGGCATGATCATCATCGTCATTATATTGATGCCATTACTATCATTATCATGAGTAACATGCATACTTCTATTACGGGTGTAGACCTTGTGCTCTGTGTTGCGCATGTAGAAATCAGCTTAAACCTTGATGAGTTTTTACCTCCAACTTTACTTGGATTTTCAGGATGAATTCAGGTGTTCATGTTTGTCTGAGGACTGAACTCAAGTCATGCTTGCATGGTAAACACTTCAACCATCTAATGCATTTCACTAGCCCCTAAAACAGTAGCTTTAAACAAATTCAATGTCTTCATGATTTACACATATAGGCTGAGCACTAATATACATTTCTAGATACGTATCTACATAGTATTGAGAAGTTTTCCATTTATATAAATTAGTTTTCTCATTTATAGTTTGAAATATTTTCTTATTTTCCCTACTAAATTTCTGCACAACTGTGAATACAATGTTTATGTACCAAGCTCAGAAAATGTGTGAAATCAGAATTTTGGAGAACCTATATTTATTTATTAGGAGGGTTGAAATTGTGTTTAGAATGTTTAACACTGAAGTGTATGAATAATGATTACTAGTTACAGTATTTTAAAATATACCTAATGACCATACATTGCTCTTCTCTTATTTTAAGACTTGCTATCCTTATTATCTGCAAACAAATTTACACATACTTAATTATTACAGTCAATCAAGAATCAAGAGCAGCATGAGGACAAGGAACTCAGGCATAATTGAAAATTCTCTTTGAAGTCAGCCAGGGCAATATAGTAAGACCCTGTCTCCTGAAACAAAATTCCCACAAATGTTTACATTGGGCAGCACACACCTGTAATCCCAGCAGTTGAGACCTGGAGGACAAGGATCTGGAGTTCAAGGTCAGTTTTGGCTACATAGTGACATAGGGACCACCCTGGGGTCCATCAAAATATCTCAAAAAAAATAAAACAACACAAAATTCTCAGTTCCCTCAGAGGAGCACACATCAGGAGCACACAGCAGCTAAACAGGGCAAACTAGATGGGGAGTTCCAAGAAAAGCGTTTCCCTGAGCATGACCAATGGGATTCATAGATAATGGCATTGATTATTCTTCACTTCAATGGCATATTTAGATATTTGGTAATCATGAATTTCCAAGGTGTGTTCCAGATGTGGTATCTTCTCCCAAGTTGCTTGCACAGTGACTTTATATATATATATATATCAAAGCATAAGAAATATATATTATATATTATATATAATATATATATTAGTATAAGAAACTCATATTGCAAACTTACATCAGACATTATACATAGAGATATAGATAGATAGATAGATAGATGATAGATAGATAGATGATAGATAGATAGATAGATAGATACAGATATATAGATACATACAAATATGCTTTATAACCCAGCTCCCCCAAAGAAGGAGAAAAACAAAAGAAAATAAAACAAATAGCTATTTAAAACTGTGGTATAGAACTAAACAGAGAATTCTCAAAAAAGATGAAACACAAATGCCCGAGAAACAATTAAAGACGCATTCAATAGCCTTAGTCATTGGCGAAAGGGAAATTAAAACTACTTTGAGATTTCATCTAAAACCAGTTAGAATGGCCAAGATTAACAAAAATTATAGCTTGCACTGGCAAGGATGTGAAGAAAGGGGAATACCCATCCATTGCTAGTCAGAATGCAAACTTGTACAGGAACTATGGGACTCAGTGTGTGGGTCCCTCAGGAAGATGGAAAGCGATATACCTCAAGATTCAAATATATCTCTCTTAGATATATACACAAAGGATTCTATATCCTATTAAGGAAACACTGGCTCATCCATGATGTTGCTACTCTATTCATAATAGCCAGAAACTGGAAACAGCCTAGACGTTCATCAATAGATGAGTGGATAATGAAAATGTGGTGCGTTTACATAATAGAATATTATGCAACCTCTAAAAAGAAAAACTAAATTATGAAATTCATAGGTAAATAGATGGAGCTAGAAAATCATGTTGAGAGAGGTAACCCAGATTTTAAAAAAAGACAATTATTATATTGTTAGCTTTTAAGCCTGCAATAGACATGCTGCAATGTGTAAAATCACTGAAGTTTGGTACAGAGTAAGGGACTGTGGGATGAGAAGATCTCCCAAAGAAGGAGAAATACAATATATAGTTATGGAGAGACAGTGGGAAGAATGACACAGGATTGAATGATGAAGAGGATCGGAAGTGGAACATAAGAGATATAATATAGGCGGTTACTACAAATCCAAGGGCCATTTGGTTGTATGGAAACCTTCTACTATAGAAGCCTTTTTAAATATATAGAGATATGAAAGAAATATAAGTAGAATTACAAAATAATTAGGGAGACTAGACATCTCCCAGCACAAAGAGAAACTCCTGGTGTTACAAATGGATTACATCTAAATGAGCTATTGGCCAACGGAAGCCCCATGGAAACCCTCAAACAACTCTGACTATTGCCAAGGCTATTGATTGCTCCCCATGAACTGATGGTAAGGACCTATTGCTGAAGACCACACTTATTTAACTCATGGAAAAATGGAGAAGTTGAGCTAGCACCTACCCAGAGTTCCCTCTACTGTCCAGTGTTCATGGTACTGAAAGGTACTCTGCAACCTATCAGAGGAGAAATACAACCACCAACTCAGCTATCAACTCTTAAATCTACAGAGGTGACCTGCCTGCATGATACACCAGAGCAACAGTGGCAGAAATGTGGTGGGAGCAACCAACTACTCTGATTGGAGTGACAGTCCACTCCATGAGATAAGAGAACCTGGAACTAGATAGGCCATGGGCCTAGGGAAAGTCCTCATACTACAATTCTGCTAAAGGAACATAGGAATATAATGACATTTTGCTATATTCATAGATCAGTGTCTTGCTCAACCATCATCAGGGAAGCTTTCTCTTTATAGTACATGGGAACTAATACAGAGACCCATAACTGGGATAATGTGTAGAGAATGAGAGACTTTGGAACACTCATTCCTGAGTGTGATAAGATTGTAAGACACCAATGAATTTATGCCTCCCAGATACAACAGGAAAGTTATACCTATGAACTTACAGAGACTGTGGCACCAAGCACCGGGCAGGCACAGGTTCAAGCCATATAGGATCTCAGTGTGGAGAGAGGGAAGAGTATGAGCTCCCGTCCCTAATCACGAAGCTAACTCCAACTGATTCAAACTGCTCTCAAAGAAAAAATTACTGTTCTCCATTAGAATGTCTCTGGATATACAAACCACAATTAAGGGTAGGCTCCATGCTCAGTAGTAGATGGCCAACACTAAACAAATTCAATGATGTTTTTGTAGAGAATTTTTGTTTTTTTGTTTTTGTTTTTGTCTCATATTGCTTTATTGGGGCTCTCTTTATCATACTGGTTTTTTGCTAGTGTGTATGGCTGCTTTTGTATTTTCATGTGGTGTGTGTGTGTGTGTGTGTGTGTGTGTGTGTGTGTGTGTGTGTGTGTGTGTCACACACACTTCTTTTGCCTTATCTTTGTTTTTTTCATTTTTCATTTTGGTTTGTTTGTTTGCCTGTTTGTATTCTAAAGAGAGAAAAAGGCATGGAGTTGGATGAGTTGAAAGGTTGGGAGGAGATGGGGAAGAGGAAACTATGATCAGAATACATTGTATGAAAACAATTATTTTCAATAAATAACATCAACATTTATAGGGGACAAATGTGAGGGACCAACAAAGAAACCATCAGTTCAGGAATGAATAAATAAGTGTGGTCGTTTATTACAAAATGGGGTTTGATGACTACACAGAACTAATTTGCATGCTTGCTATAACATGAAGAGTCCTCAAAAACTTCAGAAATATTGAAGCCATATGCAAAAAACCACCCATATTATAATACAACTTGATATGCTCAAAATAAGGAAACCATAACATACAGAAGTAGAAAAGAAGTTGGAAAAGACTGAATCAAGTGACAAGGGTAAAAAGACTGTGGTTATATCTGGGATAATAAACATCTCCAAACTTTATTACAGTGGTTGGTTCACAATTAAGAGATTATGTTATGAACTTCAGGAGTATAGATCTAATATTCATGGGTGATATGATACATGATTGCCATGTCATACACATTCATATGGGGAAAAAGTCACTGAACTGTAATAGAAAAAACTCTGCCTCAGCAATGTTGCCTTTATTTCAGGCCATATATATATAATTTTTACTATTCTAAAACTATTTTAAAATTTCTAGCATACTACTTCACACTATGTGAGCCCCTATGAACCCTGCTTAGTTGATTCTGTGGACCATGTTCTTGTGGTGTCCTCTACTCCTCGCTCCTACAATCCTTTCTCTCCCTCTCCTGTGGGATTCCCTGGCTCCACCTAGTGTCTCTGCATTTGCTCTCATCAGTTGCTAGATGATGCCCTGTCTGATGACACTTAGGCTAGGCACTGATCTATAAATATAACAGAATATCATTAAGAATAATTTTGTTGAGTTTTTTTCTTGCCACTCATGTTTAGTTCTATCCTGGGTCTCTAGGCTGCCCTGACTCTAGTTCCTGGTCATCCAGGCAGTGTCAGGTGTGGGATCTCTCTCATGACCCTGTATGTGTCTGAGCTAGGCCCTCTACATATACCTTACGGTTGTGTAGCTTGGTATTCTTGTGGGACTTCCAACAGTGGGAATGGGAGGTATCTCTAACTCTTTTGCTTATTCTTGGGACCTTTTTCCTACTATTGGGTTGCCTAGTTGAGCCTTAATATGAGGGTTTGTGCCTTTTCTTGTAACTTACTAGGTCATGATCAGTGGATATCCCTGAGAGGCCTCCTTTTTCTTTCAAAGGAAAATAGAGGAGGAGTGTATCTGGGGGAGAGGAGAGGTTAGGGGGAGGACTAAGAGGAGTGGAGGAAGGGGAAACTGCTGTTGGGATGTAATATATGGGAGAATAAAAGAAAAAATATCTAACATACCAAAGATAAATTACCCATTTAAAGTCACTAAGAATCAGGAGTCATTTCACATGTTCACATCTGCCTCCTGGAATTGCACATGGCATCCAGAAGCTGTGACTATCCCATGTATATTGACTTTGGTGGGTATAAGTTATACTTTAACTGGTTGATTATTACTCTGTCTATATCTGCAAGAACTGAGTGAATGCCATTTGAAAGGCAGCTCTGAACTTAACCAAGATGTCTGTGAAAATGACAGCAGCCCTGCTCCTGCTCCAGCTCAGTGGCTTCTTTGGATCTGGGAGTGGTGGGAAGGTGCTGGTGTGGCCAGTGGAATACAGCCATTGGCTCAACTTAAAGACAATCCTAGATGAGCTTGTTAAGAAGGGACATGAAGTGACTGTTCTGATACCCTCAGCTTCCCTTTCTTATGAGGTTGACGACACATCTGCTATTGAGTTTGAGATGTACCCTTCATCCTTTCCCATGGCTAGTATAGAAGAACATGTCCTGGAATCAATCAGTAGATACATTTATGAGATGCTAAAGCAATCATTTTGGAGATACTTTTTAATGTTGCAAGAATTGCTTTGGAAGCATTCAGAATATCGTGAGAGTATCTACAAAGATGTAGTTTTTAACAAGGAACTCATGACAAAACTACACAATTCAAGCTTTGATGTTATGGTAGCAGATCCTTCCTGTCCCTGTGGTGACCTACTGGCTGAGATTCTCAAAATACCACTTGTGTATAGTCTCTGCTTCTTTCCTGGATCTACATATGAAAAGTACAGTGAAGGACTCCCACTGCCTCCTTCCTACATACCTACTGCTCCATCAGAATTAAGTGATAGAATGACTTTTATAGAGAGGGTACAAAATGTAATCTATGTGCTTTGTTTTGACTTTTGGCTCCAAACATTTAACAAGAAGAGATGGATTCAACTTTACAGTTAAGTATTAGGGAAGTTCCCCATTCAATTGGGTTTGTTGCTCTCTCAATTTCTCTTTCAATTTGCTGGGTCATTGAAGGCGAACTTGAAACAACAGGATTGACAGCAGAAAGATTTACCTCTCCTAAGTAATATGGTGAAAAGTCTGTGAAATTATCTGCCAAATTGAAAGTATTGTAGAAAAGCCTATATCCCAGTGTCAAATTGGAAAGCCTTGTCTATAACTTGTACAAGATACTTCAGAATGGCACATACTCACCAAACCATGCTTTGTGGGTTTCTCTAAGCAAGTATATAGCTATTTTATCTCAGCTTTTAAAACAGTTCTACCTCAGTGGTATTTATCATCATCATAATCATCATCATTGTTGTCATTATTATTTATTTGTGCACTGACTGTGAGGTTGTATGTCAAGACACACATGTGAAGGAAGTTCAGCAGATAATTTGTAGAGTCTATTCTCTCATTCTACTTTTACACATATTCTAAGGGTTATAGGAAGCTTTTTCATTGGTTGCCATCTCACAAGTAAAGACACGTAAACATTAATTATGGAAGGTTTTCCTTTAGCTTAGGCTTCTCTCAATTAGCTCTTATAACTTAAATCAACCCATTTATATTAATCTATGTCCTGCCTTGTGGTGTTACCTCTCTTCCATCTTGCACCTCCTGTTCCCTCTCCATGTCTGGCTGGCAACTCCACATTTTTTCTTCCCAGAGTTCTCTCTATGCCCCAAATTCCCACCTATACCTCCTGCCAATCTATTGGGCATTCAATTTTTTATTACATCAATCACAGCAATACATTTTCATACAGTGTACAAATATCCCACAAGAAAGGACGGAAGTATGTCTGCCACCTTGCACAGCAAATGCTTTAATCCATTGGGCCACCTGGCTGACCCCTAAAGTGATTGTTTTAAACTCATCCAATGTCTTCCTGAGTGACAGGCATGTAGATTGAGGATTAACACACATTTCTACCACAGTTATCTACACAGTGTGGAGAACTTATCACTTCTAAGGTAATTAGTTATTTTATTTAAAATTTGAAATTATTTCTGACTTTACAAAATGAATTTCTTCACAGTTGTGACATACACCATCTCTGTCTCGGACACAGCAAATTTATGAATGCAGGATTTTAGAAAATCCATGTTCAGTCACTGGGTGTTTAAAATTCTTCTCTTTTAAACCGTTAATGGTTCCAGCAAATGGCTCACCAGGTAGAGGCCCATGCTGTCAAGAACCTGAAGACCTTAGACCCATTCACTGGACATAAGGAGTGAAAGGACAAAAGGCTTTCCTCCAAATGTCCTCTGAACACACACACACACACACACACACACACACACAAATGCAAATAAGTAAATATTTTTCAAAAGCCCTACAATGTTCACATGTGGACATGGAAATTATTAGTTACAGAGTTTTAAATGATGTCTTTTTTAAATGAAAAATTGTAGGGAATAGACATCTCTTTCCATATTGTAAGGCTTGTTATCACTTAACATTTGCGAACATACTTATATATACACTCCGTCATAATTTAAGAGCAGTACCAGGACAAGGAACTCATGCATAATAGAACTTAATAGATCAGCCAGGAAGATATTATGAGAGCCTGTCTCAAAATGAAGTGCTGAAGCAGAATCCACAAATGTTTACACTGGGTGTGGCAGCACACACCGCTAATCCCAGCAGTGGAGATTTGGAGGAAGAGGATCTGGAGTTCAAGGTCAACTTTGTTACATAGGGACCATCCTGGGCTCCATCAGACTATCTCATAACAGCAAAAAATTCTCAGTTTCCCTTAGAGGAGCACACATCAGGAGCACACAGCAGCTAAACAGGGCAAACTGGATGGAGAGTTCCAAGAAAAGTGTTTCCCTCAGCACAACAGGCAGGATTTATAGATAATGGAATTTGATTATACTTCAATGACATGTCTAGATATTTGGTAATAATGAATTTCCAAGTTGTTATGTATGTGTTGTCTTCTCCCAAGTTGCACACACACACACATACACACACACACACACACACACACACACACACACACACACACACACACACACTATATCCCAGCCACACACTTGTAAACGACTCTGGCTGGCTACATTATCGGAAGTGCTTTCAGAAGACTTCCTGGCATATTCATCTTCACCTGACACTTATGTCATGGGTTATACCTTCCCTGTTCTTATTCCTTTTCAGGAAGACCCACAACACTCACTGAGATGATGGGGAAGGCAGATATATGGCTCATTCGAACCTACTGGGATTTGGAATTTCCTCACCCTCTCTTACCAAATTTTGATTATGTTGGCGGACTCCACTGCAGACCTGCCAAGTCTCTGCCTAAGGTAAATATATTCCTGTCTGCTTGCTTCTCTTTACTTTACATATTTGGCAGGAATGATTCTATTTTATTCCTTCAGAATGTTTGTGTCAAACTCAGAGTGTCATAGGAATTTAGATGAAGAAACTGGCCAGTAGAAACGAGTGTATCTATCCCATCACAAGAGTCTGAATTTATTTTATGGAGCCCTGTGGGACTTCTGAGGACAGGAACAGTTAGAGTCCTACTCAATATGAGAAAATCTCAGTGATTCACGCAGAACATACAGATAAGTGACAGGGACACCCCACAGGAAAGTACCGAGCAGACAGAGAAATGAAGTGTGCACAGGCTCACCCACAAACACCAGCAATTCTGTTTTGAAGACAAACTGTGAACAAGTAACAAAACTATGGAAATGTTACAGTGAGGAAAGGCCAAGTTGCCTGGCAGTAAAAGTAAAGAGCAGAGATGGAGCACAGGTAGGGAAACAGTTCTGCTTAGTGAGGAAAACTCAGCTCTCTCTGGTCACTAAAGCCTGCCCTTAGTTAATGACTGCAAATTGCTGCAGGCCGCAGGAATATATCATAAGAACTCAGCTGGTTATGGCAAAGTCACTATCTGGAGGAATCAGGGAATTCCTCCAGAGGAAGCCAAATCCCAAGGAGTTTTTGGTGTTACTTGGCTTGTTATATATCAGCTGTCTTCTGTTATGAAAATCATGTGTGCCTTCATAGTTTTCCCAATTGATTTTTCCCTAAGAAGGGCTAACAATGTGGACTGATCACTCTCTAGACATACACATTCCAGGCATTTGGAGAACAGCCTCAGGAAAGGCTTTCCCTGGAATCAGATATCTCCCCTAGCCACTTTCAAGGACTAAAGGAGACACCACCCAGGTGGTCGCCCAATTTCCGAGGACTAACAGTGATAATAACCCACAGAAAAGTCTCCTGACTTAAGGTAAATTCCACAAGGAGACACCACTCAGGGGGGCGCCCAACTTCCTAGGACTAACAATGATAGCAGCCCACAGGCAAGTCTCCTGATTTAAGGTAAATTCCACAAAGAGACACCACCTAGGTGAGGTGGACATTAAGTAAATAGCTTCACATAATTTAGCTCGGACCCTCCCTTTATATACCGGGACTTCCAGAGCACAGGGGAGAAGAGAAAAGAGAATGGAAGAACTAGATGGGTAAGAACTTGAGAGGAACAAACTGAGGGAAGATTCATAAGTTCTGTGCAGGTCAGCACTGTTTACAAGCGACTCTGTCTTTACATTAAGGATGGTAATGTTAGCAGGAGAGGTGGGAGGGAGGTAGACTGAGGACCTACAGGGTGTGCTGAGGCTGTGGTTCAGTAGTGGAGAGCTGGCCCCACATGCCCAGTGCACCAAAAAGGAAAAGGAAGTAGGGGGGATTCTAATCATGGTAATTGAGAACAATAGAGGGTGGATTGAAGTTTTGTTATGCCCAGATCGCGTTCCCAAAGAGGCCACCAAAGACTTTAGGTACAGAATGCAAAAGCAAGGTTTATTTCTGTTTACAAGCCGCGGGCAGGGAAGCTCGATCCAAAGTACTCACTCTTAGTAGCAGTGAGGCCAGGAGGAGCTTGCTTTTTCTTTGTGTGGCTAGCTTTTTAAAGGCAAAATCCACAAGCCCTTCAGGGGGTTTGGGGGGGTTTTGCACTGGTGCAACTCAGATTGGTTTATTTTTATCTCTATTCTCTTTTAATTGGATGAGGGTATGTAACCTTTGAATTTACTGGTTGGTGGTTACAATTTATCACTTTGGGGACAGTCCAGCACAAGTCCCAGGCTTTGTCCTTGAGCCACCATGGGGGCTGGCTGGCCAAGCATGTACTGCACATAACTCTAAGTTGGTGAGGGGCCCCAGACAGTAAACATCTGGCTGAACTTTGAGCAGTCAGAGGACATCAGAAAGGGAGCTACTGCAAGGACTATGTCTTTTGTTCATGGCCCTCCCAGAAACTGCTTGCTCAAGTCTCAGGAAACTGAAATTGAGGCCTGATCTCTGAGAGAAGACCGAGCAGCCTGTTATGGCATCTGCTTGGTCCTTTCAGTTTGAGACACAAGTTTTCTGTCTTAATAACTTTGGATTCTTTTTGTCATTTGTGATGAGAATTGTTGTTCCTCTACAGCACCTAATTCATATCAGATTCTCAAATATTTCTGTGCATCTCAAAGAACATATATTTGATAAAGTACATCAATAATGCAAATATGCACATTAAATTTTAGTGTGTATTTAAGAATAGCTAAAAAGGCTGGAGAGATGGCTCAGGGGCTAAGAGCACTGGCTGCTCTCCCAGAGGTCCTGAGGTTAATTCCCAGCAAACACATGGTGGCTCACAAGCATCTGTAATTAGATCTGGTGCCCTTTTCTGGCCTGCAGGGATACATGCAGGCAGAACACTGTATACATAATAAACAAATAAATCTTTAAAAAATGTATATATATTCTAATATATATATATATATATATATATATATATATATATATATATATTAGGTTTGTAACACGTACTACTCATAAAAGAGGCCATGAAAAAGCAAGTAAGGGAATATACATTGTTATGTTGGACTATATGAGTAGTTTTTATGGTAGTATTATATTATCTAAACAAAGAAACAGTAAAATAGTGTAACAAATAAAAAATATTTAAAAAAAGATTAGCTAAAAGATAATGTTTGGAGCATTCTTAAACTAGAAAACTAAAAATTATAAATTGGGTGAATATACTATTTGCTATGATTTGAAAAGCCTTCATATAAAAAAGAGAACAAATTTCATGAGCTCACTAAATATGTGTATGCTCATATGAAATAGTTTAATCTAAATATTGTTAAACCCACTAAATGAGTATAAATACCATTATCTGCTGTGGGATGTCCTGTAAATATATGTTACTATGATTGATAAATAAAATGCTGATTGGCCAGTAGCCAGGCAGGAAGTATAGGATAGGTAGGACAAAGAGAGAGGAGAATGCTGGGTGGAAGAAGGCTGAGGCAGAAAGAGATGCTGCCAGCTGCCACGAGGAGAAGCATGATGTGAGATACTGGTAAGCCACAAGCCACATGGCAAGGTATAGATTCATAGAAATGGGCTGAGTTTAAGTGTAAGAGCTAGACAGTGGTAGGCCTGAGCTAATGGCCAAGCAGTTTAATTAATATGAGCTTCTGAGTGATTATTTGAGTCTGAGTGGCTGCCAGCCCAGGCGGGACTGGAGATAACTCCAGCTACAATTATCTAAATACTTTGGTCAAATTATGCAAGCTTTATTTTCTGCCAGTCAGAGCTATCTCCCCAAAGCAAAGTTTGAGAAAATGGCGGCAAACATAGGGGGATATTATAGCTTCCAAAACTGTAAGACTGGGGGGGTTTTCAATGGTTGCAGAATTACCAAAGGAATTTTGGTTATGCAGCAATGTAGTTGAATATTTCAAGATTTCTTGGCAGAACTTCCTATCAGGGTAGAGTTCAGGGTAAGTTCAACAAGTAAGTCAGCCTCCAGAGGGTGGGGAACATATTAGACTCCACAAACAGGTTAAAGCATGATCAAACTTGAATTTTGCAGCAAGTAGAAACAAATTTATTCTGACTTAACAACAAAATGGCTTCTGATATTATGAAGGAATCAGGCTGGTCCATCAGTGTACCATACATAAGGGATTATGCTCACCCTGACCCCACATCTTGACAAAAAAGCAAAACTCTAGGTATGGGATACTGTCCCTGGTGGTATTGTTCAGAGGTATCGCACAGATTCCTAAAGCAATGCAGGGTGTTTCTAAGGCTTCTGGTTGACCCCTAAAGCTACATGATAAGACTATTGCTGAAGACAGGACATATTTTGGTCATAAGACTTGGAAATATCCAAGTGAAACTAAGTAGGAAACTTCCTCCTTGCTGGCTAGTTAGCACTCTTAGTATTGGAAGGTGCTATGAAAAAAATGTCCTCAGCAGTCATCCCAGATGGTAACCCAGTGAACTACAATTGTGACTAGCATGGCAAGATCAGTCAATGAGGACAACAGCAGCATGAATGTTATGGGAATAACTAACTGCTCTGAGCTTAGATTTAAAGCCTGCTTCATAGAAGAAAAGACATGGCTGGCACCATAAATTTGGACATGACCTTATTTAGGGGGAGCTCACAGACCCCAGTGATGAACATACTCTATTATTTTGCAAAATGGAGATAGCATCAGATACCTTCTTAATTAATATCTCCTTACTATAAACTAGTTCAGTTCTCTGACCTCATCTAAGAAGCTTCTTGGGTAATCAGCAGTGGATAATGCAGAAACAGACTACTGCTCAAAGTACAGAGCCTAAGTGACTGTGGAGTACTCAGCCACAAATTTGACATCTATATCAATATCTCTCTCCAAGGGCCAGGAGCCACGGAGTAATAGGAGGTAGACATACTGTAAGGGCTGTGGGATGAGTAAGAACAGAGGAAACAGTGTCTTCTGGACGTAACAGGACCACTGCATTAGCAAACTCCCAGAACCTGTAGCTATCTGCATAAGAACTGCACGAGACCAAGCTAACAAGCATGCTTGCATGGAGTAGGAAGGGTCTCATGAGCTCATACAACTTACTGAGGAGCTTCGACAGTTGATGGCTTCTAAAGGAATGGAGTAGATTTTCTTTAAGCATGTAATTCCTGAAAGGTCAGCCATGCTCCGGTGAATGGCCCCAACGTTCAGAAGTAAGTGGCCAGAACAAATTGAAATCAATGGGTTATTAAAGGTTTCGAGAAAAGGATTAAAAAATGGAGTACCAGGCAGAGCAGTGGTGGCACACTTCTTTTTTTTTTTAAATTTTTTATACCAACCACAGATCCCCCTCTCCTCTCTCCTCCCGCCCCCCAGTCTTCCTCCTCAACTCCAACCCCATTGCTACCTCCTCCAAAGCAAGGCCTCTTTTCCAGAGTCAGTAGAGTCTGGAACCTTTAATTGAGGCAGGTCCAAGCCCCTCTCCCTGAACCAAGGTTGTGTAAGGTATCCCACCATAGGCACTGGACTCCAAAAAGCCCGCACATGCACCAGGGACAGATCCTGATCCCACTGCCAGGGAGCCCCTTAAGCAGGTCAAGATACACAACTGTCTTGTCTATGCAGAGGGCCTAGTCTAGTCCCACGCAGGCTCCATAGCTATTGGTCCACAGTTCATGAGTTCCCACTAGTTTGGTTTTGTTGTCTCTGTGTTTCCCCATCATGATTTTGATACCCTTTGCTCATAGAATCCTTCTCTCTCTTCAACTGGACTCCTAGAGCTCGGCCTGATGCTTGGCTGTGGATCTCTGCATCTGCTTCAATCAGTTACTGGATGAAAGGCTCTATGATGACAGTTAGGGTATTCACCAATCTGACTACCAGAGTAGGCCAGTTTAGGCACCCTCTCCACTATTTTTGTAGTCTAAGATGGGGTCATCCTTCCTTGTGGATTCCTGGGAACTTCCCTAGCACCCTGTTTCTCCCTATCCCTATGATATCTCCTCTATCATGATATCTCTTTCCTTGCTCTCCCACTCTGTCCCTGTTCCAGCTCAACCATTGCATTCCCTTATGATCTCATCTCCCATACCCCACCTTCCATTGCCCCTCCACCCCCATTTACTCATGGAGATCTCATCTATTTCCCCTTCCAAGGGTAATCCATGTGTCCCTCTTAGGGTTCTCCTTGTTAGCTAGCTTCTCTGGAGCTGTGGGTTGTAAGTCTGGTTATCCTTTGCTTTACTTCTAGTACCCACTTATGAGTGAGTATATACCATGTGTGTCCTTCTGAGTGTGGGTTACCTCACTCAGGATGATATTTTCTAGTTCCATCCATTTGCCTGCAAATTTCATGATGTCATTTTTTTTTTTACTGCCAAGTAGTACTTCATTGTGTATATAGGTGGCACACTTCTTTAATCCCAGCACTCAGAGCCAGAGCCAGGAGGATCTCTGTGAGTTCGAGGCCAGCCTAGTCTACAGAGCAAGTTCCAGGACAGGCTCCAAAGCTACACAGAGAAACCTTGTCTCAAACCGCCCCCCCACCCCCACCCCCCAAAATGGAGTATCATTATAAGGTCATTTCTCTGCTAAAATAAGGGATTCATTAACTAAATGTCAGGAAATAAATAAAGGAGGTTTGAGAGAGCTAATAGGTGAAAGAGCAGGTAGTATGAGAAAAGATAATAATGTCTCTTATGGAGATTGTTAACTTATGTCAAAAACATTAATAAGGCTTAATTGTGCTGTCTTCTTCTGTAATAACATTTTCCACACTACCTTTCTCTCAGCTTTCTTGACATATAGAAAAGAGAGTGAGATGTTGCAAAAGGTGAATTCTTGGGAGTTCTTAGCAGTGTGTTGTGAATGAGGGCATACTTAGAAATCATTTAAAATTGCATCTTTCCACAGGAATTTAAAATGTGCTTTTTGTATGTCTGCATTAAGATAGAAAATGGAAGTAGGAATGTAACAATCTGTCACATGAACTTGGGGTCCCAGAGCCACACACTTAAGGATTTAAAATTTTATAATGCAGTAATGCATTTGGTTCTAAAAATATGAGTTTGATTGAGTTGTGATTGATGACCATAGGTGTTAACGTTAGAGAAGAAGGCATTGAATTCTATCATAGCATCTTTCAATAAGTTGTACTCCGTGGAAGGAGAGAGAAGGAATATACCATTAAAATCTGTTTCATGGGGCCAGAGAGATGGCTTAGAATTTAAGAGCACTTGCTGCTCTTCTAGAGGACCCAGGTTTGGTTCCCAGCACCCACGTGGTACTTTACAATCACCTATAACTCTAGTACCACAGAATCTGACTCCCCTTTTCTGGCCTCAGGGAGCACTTGCACACATAGAACACATACATATGTGCAGGCAAAACACTCAAAAGAAAATCTTTTAGAAAAGAATTTGTTTTACTATAAACTGTTGGGAAATTATGCATAAAAATAATTAAGATGTATTTATGATTAAGACTCATAGCAGTTATTCATGAAGGAAGCACTGAATGTTACTTACATGTATAAAAAGCTGGTTTTATTTTTATATGCATGCTGTATGCCTACAAAAATGTTACATTTTTATTGAAAATTCGTACAATATATTCTATAATTATTTTTCATAGAATACTTAACTACTCATAGCCACAACACAAATTTACATATAAAATGAAGAGAAAATGAAAAAAATAGGGAGAAACAATGTTGTTCTATAGGAGTAAAAATGTCTATATTATAGGACTTTAATTTTCTAAATGTATATCACATAATCAGCATGTGTAATATATATATATATATATATATATATATATATATATATATATATATAGTAATTTTACGTATGTGTTTGCTGGGGTAAAACCCAAGGTTGCAATAATGGAACACATGTAACATGAAAATAGACTGTGATTCCTGCAGTAGAAGATGGAATGGGGAATGGAAGCCCAGGGGCATGGGACAGCAAAACAAAAGCAAATTATATTCCCAAATGTCACAATGAAGCCTACTGCTCTATGTACTGATTCAAAAAGATGGGGGACTGAAGAAACAGCTCACTGAACCAGAGCAATTGCTGTTCTTGTAGAGGACCCAGGTTCTATTCCCAGCTTCTCAATATCAAGTAAAAAGTTTTTCCCTTTAGAAGTCGGGAAATGACCCCCCTCTAGAGTCAGTCAGCAAGATTTCCAACCAAGATGGTGCCTCAACTCAACAGACTGTAACTAAAACTAGATTCTAGAAGCCAGGGAATTTAAGCCAGCCTATTAGAATTGGGGAACTGAGGAAACTGTCCTCCATTTCTTCTGAATTCAAATTCAACTTATAAAGGATAGTAAGGTATTAATAGACAAAATATGCCCCATGCAACATCAACAAATGTTTTTTGATCAGGAATTTGACTCAACAACTGACAGCTAATCAGCCTATTTTGACTACTGACTATGGTTTCAAAGATGTGCATATATGGTGAGGTATGGCCATGTCAGGACAACAGTGATGTGTTTTGGCTCTCTCTGTGGTAGAACATCAAAATTGTTGCGGGAAGAAAGTTATTCAGGATATTTATATCCCCTAGATGGCATATGCAGGAGTTGAAAAATACATGAAGGATGATTAGGACCAATTTCAGCATTTGGATCAAATTAATTCAAAAGATCTGTTAAAGACTGTTTTCTCAGCTGGGCAGTAGTGGCACACAGCTTTAAGGCAGAGAAATGAAGATCTCTGTGAGTTCAAGGCCAGGCTGGTCTACAGAGCAAGTTCTAGGACAGCCAAGGCTATATACAGAGAAAACTTGTCTCAAAAAAACAAAAAGAAAAAAAAAACTATTTTAAAAATGTTTTCTTTCATTCAAGCATGCAAAGGAGAACACACAAATACTTAATGCAAGAGCAGTTCCAGAAGCCAAGTCCTATACAAAGTGAATTAGGAGAAGACAAATGGAGTTATGTCAAAGAAAAACTTATTGTCAAAAGTCACAATGGCTGTATGTGCTGTCTTGGTCAATCAGTCACACAATTAGAAACACACTCATGTACACATACACATACATACATACACACATACATACATACATATATACATTTACACAAGGAAGCACAGTAACATAAATTGACAACATAGTAAATATTTTTCCAACAAACTGAGTGCCTCTTAAAATACACATATACTTTAGAAAAGAGAATGGACATTGTTAACAAAATTAGAAAAAGATTCATGGTCCATGAATTCCACTCTTGGGTCTGTATGCAAAAGAATGGATGGAAGGATGATCACAGCTGCACTGTTCCTGACAGGAAGATGTGTGGTAGTTGAAGAAGAATGGCCCCATAGGGTCATATATTTGAATGCTTGGTGTAAAGTCGAGGAACTGTTTATAAAGGATTAGGAGGTGTGGCCTTGCTGGTGTGTCACTGGAGACAGGCTTTGAGGTTTCAAAAGCCCAAGCCATGCCTGGTGTCTTTCCCTCTGACTACAGTTTATGGATCAGGTTGAGCTCTCAGATACTCTGCTGGTACCATGCTTGCCTGCCTACCACAGTGCTCCCCACCACAATTTTCATAGACTAAACCTCTACAACTGTGACAAAGCTCCCAGGTGGCCTTAATCGTGATGTCTCCTCACAGCATTAGAACAGTAACTAATAAAGGGAGAAACAGTCTAGGTATCACTAGAAGTATAAGTAAACAATATGTAGTACATAAATACAAAGAAATATCACTAAATCTTTAAAACTGAGAGTATAGAGATACATGGTATGACCTTTAATGACTGTACACAAAGTAAACTCAGCCACAGAAAAAGACAGAAATAAGAAGAAAATCTTATGTATACTACCCAGAAAGTCAAAATTATAGAAACAGAAAACAGATGTATGGTAACCAAGGGACTAGAGAAGGAGAAAGATAATGTTGGATTTAATTTCTACAAATCTTGCCTTTCAAGATGAAAATGTTCCAGAACTGTTTATATGAATGTGAATATGTGTAACACACAGAACTGTAACCTTACAGTTGGCTACAACTGTCCATCCATGTGCATAGATTTAAGCACCCGCTACTCTATCATTTCTATTGCTGCTCAGTTTCTTCCTGTGGATGTTGGTGTCAGTTTTTATGCAGGTTATTTGGTGTTGATGCTGTTAGTGATGAGCTGATATTCCATTAACAGGAAATAGAAGACTTTGTCCAGTCTTCTGGAGAACAAGGTATTGTGGTGTTTTCCCTGGGATCCATGGTGGGTACCCTAACAGAAGAAAGGGCCAATGTGATTGCAGCAGGCCTTGCCCAGATTCCACAGAAGGTGAGACACAGTGCCTCAGTGTTGCATCCTGTTCAGGTGTGATTGCAGAAACCTCTTTTGTGTGAAACTGAAGTTGTCCTGATAACTCTAGCTCATCTCTGAAGTCACCTGTGACACAGAAATAGAGGGGACAGATGCCAAATAGTAGGTGATGTTTTTGATTAATAACTTTGTTATTAACATTATGTTCAGAAAAAAAAAACAAAACAAGAGTTTGTGAACTTAGTGTCAAGAAGGTATTATAGGCACAACAATGTGCCTTCTTACTTCCTCCATTCACTTGGAGGACTCTGCGCACACTACCTTAAAACCATAAAGCATTTAAATTATAACCAGTAAGTGCACTGGCCCAGTAACAATAAGGAAGCAATGAAAATTTGCAATTGTGGGACTGCAGAAGTGCCTCATCCTTGAAGAGCATGTGTTGCTCACCCAGAGGACCTGAACTTACTTCTGAGACCCCACATTTGTCATCTCACAACTGCCTGTAACTGTTTCACCATGGGATCCAATGCCCTCATCCATCCTGTCATGACACTCATACACACTTTCCATCCATATGTATACACATACTGTCTTAGTTAGGGTTTCTATTGTGGTGAAGAGACACCATGACCACGGCAATTCTTTTTTTTTCCCCCCCCTTGATTTTTCGAGACAGGGTTTCTCTGTGTAGCTTTGCGCCTTTCCTGGAGGCAATTCTTATAAAGGAAAACATTTAACTGGGGCTGGCTTACCATTTCAGAGGTTTAGTCTATTATCATCATGGCCAATGGCATGCAGGTAGACATGGTGCTGGAAAAGGGGCAGAGTTCTTACATCTTTATTCACAGGCAGCAGAAGGAGACTGTGTGCCACCCTGGGCATCGGTTGAGCATATGAGACCTCAAAGCCTGCCCCCACAGTGGCACATTTCCTCCAACAAGGTCACACTTCTTCCAACAAGACCACTGCTCCAAATAGTGCCACTCCCTATAGGCTAAGCATTGAAACACATGAGTCCACAGGGGCCATACCTATTCAAACTACCACACATACATACTCACACATGCAGACACACTAGCTTACACATAAATAAAAATAAATCTTTACTTTTAAAATGGAATTTGTGCTATTCTGGCTTATTTGCTTATCTGTTATATTATTTTATTTTATTTTATTATTTAGATGCCAGTTTGCTTTCTAAGGAGAGAGAAAGAATGGGTATGGATTTGGATGGATGAGGAGAGGCTGGGGAGGGAAAATATAATCAGAAGATACTGCATGAAAAAAATCTCTTTTCAATAAAATGAAAATAGAAAAAGAAGAAAATGTAAATTTAAAAAGAATGAGGTTTGGTTTGTCTGGAGGTGGTGGCACATGCCTTTAATCCCAGAACTCAGGAGGCAGAGCCAGGAGGATCTCTGTAAATTCAAGGCCAGCCTGTTCTACGGAGTGAGATCCAGGACAGGCACCAAAACTACACAGAGAAACCCTTTCTCAATAAATAAATAAATAAATAAATAAATAAATAAATAAATAAATAAATAAATAAATAAATAATGAGATTTGTATAATGGCATAATATCCCTTTGTAGCCTTGGCCAAATGTGACCACCTACATACTAAAATGGGCTTATGCAGGGTACTGTTTTCCTTGCTACACAAAACAATAGGTAAAATAGGATTTACAAACCCCAGGTCCACCTGGGGGATTGAGGATGTTAATGCTGAAATAGGAGGCAACTCAGACACTTGCTCTTGAAATGACCATGTGCTTAGACAGTGCCATGCGACAAGGATATAATCCAATAAAATACCTTTGATAAAAGTGATGATACATGAACTAACTCAAATATCATTGACAAATATTTATATTGAATTTGGAAAGTAAAAACTGCTATAAATATATATTAGAAAAAATCAAGTTATGTATTAGTAACATTGGTAGATTAACTGTAATTTCAATCATATATTTCTTTTTATTTTTTAAATTTGCATTGGTGTTTGGCCTGCATGTATGTTTGTGTGAGGATGTTGGATCCCCTGGAACTGGAGGTACAGACAAACAGTTGTGAGCTGCCATGTAGGTGCTGGGAATTGAACCTGGGTCCTGTGGAAGAGCAGCCAGTGCTCTTAAACATTGAGCCATCTCTCCAGCCCTGACACATTTCTTAATCCTGCTTGACATTGCTGGACCTGCTTTTGCCTAAACTGCTGTTGGTTAAATGTTAAGGTGGCATGCTGACACTTAGATAAGCATGAGAATAAATGCAGGAGAATGAAAAGTATTGCATCCTTGCTGTAGTAGTTCTTCATGGTTCCCATCATCTATCCTCACCTCCTGGTTCCTCAAGACTGGGCATTTATCTCAATTGATTCTTAAGTATCTTGAGAATTCTAACAGGAGTAACTTGCATTTGACCAAAGTAATAAGAGGCTAGCTTCCTCTTAACAGGTTCTTTGGCGATTTGAAGGCAAGAAACCAAACACCTTGGGCTCTAATACTCGGCTATACAAATGGATCCCCCAGAATGACCTTCTTGGTAAGTATTAGGAGACGCCTGAGACATAGAAATGGCTGGTCAACACTAATGCATTTATGACAACTGTGATCTAGTCCTGGGGAAAATGGATACAAAAACTAATGGAATTTCCTGACACTAATATCCAGATGGGATAATCCATTTTTATCTCTCCTTTAATTACCGTTCCAGTACATTTCAGTCACTTCTTTCTCTCCACCTCCTATGTCTATACCTTTACATACACCCTTTCCCCTATTGTAGGTGAATTTCAAATGCCAGTGAGAATGGTATTCTTTCATTAATGACTCTTCAGTTACTAGCTCCCTAAAACTCCATATCATGAGGCAGTCCTGTATTTGGTGAAGTATTGCTTGTCCTAATTCTCATTCCATCAGTACGATCAACCAACCCCCTCCTACACGGAGGCAACCTACCATGAGCAGTGGCTTCACTGTTCCTTTAAGAGAACACACTCTCCTGAACCAGAGCCTGTGCTTACACAAGCTGTTTGCTGCACTTGGGAGGAGCTCTGCCCTTTTGGTCATTGTACAAAATCATTCTGCTTCCACACTGCACCTCCTCTAGGTGGCCTTCACTTAACCTCTGTGGACTTGTGGTGCTCCTTAGTCTAAGATATGGGGGAATTCAGTGTAGTCCTGTGGTTATGATAATGTTAACTAGAGAATATTTACCCTTTCTGTGCCTCTTTTCCTGCCTCTCATTTTCTATCTCAGACTCATGATTAACACTTGCCCTTAATTTCTCCCCTTCCTAGGTCATCCTAAAACCAGAGCTTTTATAACTCATGGTGGCACCAATGGCATCTATGAGGCGATCTACCATAGGATCCCTGTGGTCGGCATTCCTTTGTTTGGAGACCAGTTTGATAATGTTGTTCACATGAAGACCAAAGGAGCAGGTGTTAGACTGGACTTTCTCACAATGTCCAGTGCAGATTTGGTCAATGCTCTGAAGACAGTCACTGATGATTCTTCGTGAGTATAGTGATTTTGTTCAAATTGGTACTGGTCTACGTAGGCTCTCTCCAAGATAACAGTAGAATTCATCTGGTCTTATTCTAAGTTTGAAAACAGCAACAACAATATAAAACTCATTTAAGCACTGTGGAATGAGCTTTCACTGTCAATCAAGACTGTAAATTGGGCTGGAGAGACAGCTCAGTGGTTAAGAGCACTGACTGCTCTTCCGGAGGTCCTGAGTTCAATTCCCAGAAACCATATGGAAGCTCACAACCACCTGTAATGAGATCTGGTGCCCTCTTCTGGCCTGCAAGGATACATGCAGACAGAACACTATGTATAATAAATAAATAAATAAATCTTTTTTTTTTAAAAAAAAAAAGACTGTAAATCGCTATAGACTTACTGCATGAGAGGTTAGTTTAGAATAATTTGATGATGGAAATAGTTTCTAAGCAAGTTATCAATGAGCTGCATCCCAGCCCTCAAGTCATCTGGTGCAAAGTACGTCCCATTCTCACCAGTTCCCAATTTTTAATCATCAATAGTGTTTTTATTGAGATTATACAGAATTTTGACAGCATTTCTTCTCAAGAGCATCAATGTGATCATGCTCAATGTCTATGAATCACCTCACTTACAGTGCTAGAAAAGGATTATGAACATTTGCTCTGCTGAAAAGATTTACTTCCCAAATGATTTCCATTTCAGTTTGGGAAAGAATTTCTCAGAAAATGACAGCTTACAGGCAAACCTTCAAACATGTCCCAATCAAACCACACTGTATCTAGGGCTAATCTAAGGAATGTACTGAGTCTTGTGATGCTTTCCCCGAACCTTCCATAGGCTTGATGCACTTAAGTAAACTACTTGGTTTTCCATGTTGCTATCTTTAGCTATAAGGAGAATGCCATGCGGCTATCAAGAATCCACCATGATCAGCCAGTGAAGCCCCTGGACAGAGCCGTCTTCTGGATTGAGTATGTCATGCGCAACAAAGGAGCCAAGCACCTTCGTGTGGCAGCACATGACCTCACCTTGTTCCAGTACCACTCTCTGGATGTGCTTGGATTCCTGCTGGCCTGTGTGATGACTGTGATGCTCATCATCATGAAGTGTTGCCTCTTTTGTTGCCAGAAGTTTGCTAAATCTGGAAAGAAGAAGAAAAGGGAGTAGCTGAAGTGGGGAGGACAGACACACAGATCTCCCCCAGTGCATCCCAGCAAAGCAGGCTTTCCATCTTATCCCATAGTCACAACTGACCTGGACACTGTCACTCTTATTTCATCATTTTGAAGTAGACGTGAACTGTCAAAAGTTCCTTTTCCTCTCAATTATAAAGTACACATGCAAGAGAAGACCACAATTTTTTAAGTCACAACATCACTTACCTCATATTATATTCCAATCTTGAAAGGTTCCCCACAGACTTCCAATTTGTTTGGTTTATTTTGTTTAATTTATTCATTTATAATTTGTAACCTTGATTCAGTGAAATATTAAATTGGTCCCTCATGATCACGTATCTACTTCCCACTGGATCTCACCCAATACGTCCAAATCCCAACTTCCTGTCCTCTAATTATTAATAACCCAGTAAGTCCAATTAGTTCTGTCTATAGATGCATGTGTGCATTCATGGGGAGACATTGCTGGATCATGACCAATGTACCGGTGTCCACCCAACTCCCATAATAATGATTCATCCCTTCCTGGAATCTATGACTGCCAAAAACTCTTTATTTATGGGTGGAGTATTAGGAGATCCTCTCCATTTGTTATGGAATTTTGGCTACCTGATCTTTCCGAAGTCCTGTGCAGCTGACAGATTCTTTGAGTTTATGAATGAAAAAGCCATGGCATGTCCAGAAGAAAGTGTTCCATAACATTTCTCCTCATCATCGGCTTCTTTCTTTCCCCATGCTTCTGAGCCTTGCATGGACTTCATCATTCTCAGCCCTTTGGGCAGTTGTGAGTCTCTGAATTGATTAGTGAACACTACAACAAAAGCTTCTTTGACAAAGGCTGAGAGTAAGCCAGAGCTATGACTATGGCTGTTACCATAAACATTGAAACTAGAAACCATTCTACTACCAATGCAGAGCTGAGTCCTTCAACCATAAACAGTTCAAAGCTCAGAGTTCAGAAGCAGCAGGAACCCTAGTTAGTGAAGATGAAGTGAGCCCTGGGACAGCTGTCACACCTGTAAAGTATACTGTATACTTTACAAAAAGTGTAGCGTGAATTCTAATTGGTGTTAATAATAAAAATCTGAAGTCAGATATTGGAGTAAATGCTGAAATGTCAGAGAAGTGAAAGAGCCAGCCACTAGAGAGACTTCTTACCTCTACCGAATCCTCAAACCGAATGGCTGAGCTCCTGTTTCCTAATGCTTTGTGTTAATGTCTCCATCTCCCTAGTGCTGGGATTAAAGGCGTGAGCTTCCACCGCCTGGCTCTGTTTGTCTTTTAGACTAGATAAATCTCCTGTAGCCCAGGGTGGCCTTGAACTCCTGATTTTCCTGCTTTCTCCTCCCAAGTGCTGGGATTAAAGGCGTGTGCCACCACTGCCTGGCCTCTATGGTTACCTAGAGCTAGCTCTGCCCTCTGATCGCCAGTCAAGCTTTATTTGTTAGAGCACAAACAAAATACCACCACACACACAAACACACACACACAAAAGGTTGGGAAATCAATTATGAACAGGTTACCCCAGGGAGGGAAGCATCAGTCATGGACAAGGACAGAAAGGAAGAGTAACTGCAATAGTGCAGAGTGTCCAACAAAAGGAGAGATGAGAAAGCTGGTCAATCACAAGCCCTTGCTCCTTCTGAACCCAGGAGAGAATGTGACCCCTGTGTCTTAACCCCAGCGAAACACAACCAAGCTGATGCTAGAAATACATGAAATAAGGAAGAGAGCTGAAGCTGGCCAAGAGAGTTCCATGGATGTGGAAACATTATGCCAATGTGCCCAGGTTACAGGATCTAGCTACAAAGGCAACACTGGCCAAAAGAAAACTTTGCTTACAAGGGTTAAAAGAACACTGACTGTTCAAAGGGAGAAAATTATAGGAACAGAAGCAGTTTCCAGCTCCTGCTAATACTTGGATTCAAAACAATCCTGAGCAGAAACCAAAGTTCACCTTAGATGAGATCAGGTGGGTTCAGAGTGATGTGCCCATTCCAAGGTTCACTTCAAACACCTTCCTTCTGCTTGATTAGCACTTAATCAAGTGCATATCTCTGCATATCTAGAATTTAAAGACATATCGCCCCATTAATTTCCATACTTCTGTTTTTATTTTATAGAAGTTGCTTTATAATGGGATCCTAATCTCTCTCCAAGCCTACTTGCTTAAAATTACATTTTAGTTACCTATTTTTAAATTTTATTTATTGGTATATGCTGCATGAATGTTTTCTCAACAAGTATGTGTGTGTACCACATGCATGCTTGGTGCATTCAGAAGCTAGAAGATGGATTAGGAAACCCTGGGACTGGAGTTACAGATGTGTATAAGTTGTGTGGGTGCTGGGAATCTAACTGGGTCCTCTGGAACAGCAACCAGTGTGCTTAACTGCTGAGCCATCACTTCAGACCAGGGTTTGAAGTGAAACATATGTTTGCTTATCACTTTCTTTTATTTCTTTTATTCTTTTATTTGTTCTTCTTTGTGATTGTTGACTTGTACACTTGAGACAGACTCTCACTATGTATCTCTGGGTGCCCTCAAACCCTCTATGTAGTCCAGGCTGGCCTTGAACTCACAGAGATCTACCTGCATCTGCCTCCTTAGTGCTGGGATTAAAGGTGTGTGCCATCTTGCCTGGCTACTTAAACTTCTTCTTTATTTATTTACTTTTAATTATTTTAAGTATCTAGGCGGGGTGGTGCACTCTTTTAATCCTAGCACTCTGGATGCAGATACAAGGTGATCTCTGTGAGTTCAAGATCAGCTTGGTCTACAGCCTTGTCTCCTAGACCAGAAAAGAAAAAATATATTTTATGTAAATAATACAAATAAAAAACATAGTCAAGAGTGGTAGCACAAGCCTTTAACTCCAGAACTCCAGAGGTAGAGGCAGGTGGATCTCTGAGTTTCAAGTCAGCCTGGTCTACAGAGAGAATTCTAGGACAGCCAGGAATACATGAGCAACTCTCTCTCCAAAAAAAGATATTTGTAGTAGACAAATATTTGTAATAGACACACACATATATGTATGTTTAGAATTCCTATCCATTTTCATTGTTACAGTGTTGGGAAATAATTGTTTCATATTTGATTTTTGATCTGGGTTTGATTTTTATCTTTATTTAAAAGAAAACTGTTACATTAATAAATTATGCTCTTTGGCATAGGTAATGTCTACAGTTTTTATGTACACATGAACATATTAAATCATATATTGGCAATAAAAGATTCTTAATGCTTGATGGTGGTTTTATTACTTTTATGCTGTATTAATTTTGTGTAAGAGTGCTAAAGTTATAGAGAATATAAAAATATACAATTTGATTGATATTTGACAAGGATCACAAAACTATCCATGGGAAAGTTGCAGGGTTTAGTTTTGCTTGTTTGCTTTGGGTTTTTTTTCTTTTTTTATCAAGGGCTTCTAAGATATCTATTGGCATGAAAAATTAAAAATGGACCTCTAACTCTTAAATGATCATGTAAAAGTATCATCTAAAATGCTTTGAGAAGTAAAGGTAACAATTATAAATATTAGAAGTTAATAAATGGGTAAATATATATTTGTTATTGAATTTGAAATTTGGTTTTCTCTTTGACCTCAAAAGCAGAAGCAGCTAAGCTAAACTTCATTAATTGGACTCATAAAAATGAAAACTTCTCTGCATCAAAAACATCACTGTAAGTCCTGAAAACACAAATCACAAACCTGAAGAACGCATTTGAAATTCATATACCTCCCCCACCCCAAAGACTTAAGCACTGTATAAAGAAAGGTCATAACTTCATAATGTGGAAGGGAAAACACCTGACATGACTCAAAAATAAAATATGGACACAGGATCTGAATAGACATTTTTCCATGAAAGAGCTACATGTGGCCAATATGCATGTGGAAGAATGTTCAGCATCATCATGCTTAAGGTCAACCAAGCTCAGCTCAAAACAATTGAAAACCACAATGAGATAGGGCTTCATCCTCTTAACTGCTTGTAATCAAGAGAGAAACAGTAGAGAGCAAGGGGAGACATCAGGATACTACTGTACTATGCTGTGGGTGGCAACCAGAGCAGCTCCTTGGAAACAGTCTGCCACTTCTGCAGACTTCAAAGATCTCATCATTAGGCTCCTGTAGTTACACTTCAAACAGATCCAAACAAACCTCTTATAGAAAACTGGGATGGAGACACAGCAGCAGGCAGGGTGGATCCCTATTTCTTCAGGTCCCCGCCCAGAGCCTGTTAAACTCCAGATAAGAACGGCAACAAGTCTCTGCCCATGCTGCCTGCCTGCCCAGCTGCAGTACTCCCAGCTGCACCCCACTTCCATGCTCACCCCAGGACAGCCACGAGTTCCACCGGGTGTCCCTTTCTTCAATGCCCACTCAGGAGCAACTCTGCCATTTTGCTAGGCGGATCCCACTAAGGAGCTCCAGACAGCACAGCTCAAGGTAAACTGGGTTCTGCCCAAGAGCATGATGGTGCTTTCACCTTTTCCCCCTTTCCTGTCCCAGCTTGCTCAGTCCTCTTGCCTTTGCTCTATGAGGTGGAGCCCACATAGGAGCTCATGGTTTGCTTGGTGCTGTGTGTAGGACACCACTGGAGCTAAGCAAGGAGGCACCCTGGACTTTTTCTAATGATATTTTGCCCTAATGAGGGAATAATGAAAATAAGGGGTTATATTCTTAGTGATGTCTGCAAAAGATACATGGACTCAGGAAAGGGTTGAGATCAAAATATAGAGCAGACAAATATATGGTAATGAATATTAATAAAAAAACAATAGTAGTCAAAAATTGGGAACAAAAGCTAATGTCAAATTAGAAAAGAGCAAGTGTGGACTTTCTGTTACAATATGTAGTTAACATTACATAAAAGAAACTTGGCTACCTCCTATAACATGACAGTACTTTAAACCCTTAATATAATCAAAGCCAATCACAAAGCACCACCCATTTTATACCAGCTATACAAAAAGCACAGAATAAGGAAAAAGGGGTTTCATGACTAAGGGGTTTCAGCCTGTGTGTTCCAACAAGCCAGTTACACACACACACACACACACACACACACACACACACACACACACACCCCTAAATAAGCCCATCAAAGGAGCCAAATAAACTGTAAAATGCAGAAAAAAAAACAGATTTACTCATTGTAATCTCTTTAGTAACAGAGGCAGAGAAAACCAGTCACGTTTACCACTCCATCTTTGGGATTCTGACAAGATATATGCATAAGCAGTTCAGCCATGATGTGGTCCCTTGCCCAACATTTTCTTAGCTCCCAGGTTCTTCAGAAATGTTAGTCCCCTCTAGTTGTAAATGGTCCTTGAGGATAGATTCCTCCTGGGTACACCCAAGGAATTAGACAATTCTCCCAGCAAAAGGTCATCAGGAAAATTCTAATTTCTTAGCATCCGTTCTTTCAAGTCTGATAGTCGAAGAGTGAGGCAAAATGTCTCATTAGAATATATTCATTCCTGCCAGGGTGACTAATTTCAAGAAAGAAGATTCCTGATTGGGTAGGGCCAGAACCAATGGAAAGGCTAAAAAACGGGGCTACTATCTTGGATAAAATCAGCTTCAAATTTAGTTGCAGTGTTTATAATTCTAAAGTTATACTATGGACCTCTGAACCATTTATTTAAAATCATTAAATAGTATTGTTGTGGCTATCACTCTGTATGTTGTAAATGTATTGCTCTGATTGGTTAATAAATAAAGTGCTGATTGGCCAGTAGCCAGACAAGAAAAATAGGTGAAAAAAGCAGAGAAGAGAATTCTGGGAAAAGGAAAGCTGAGTCAGGAGTCACCAGCAAGACACAGAGGAAGTAAGATGTAAAGACAGAACTGAAAAAAGGTACCAAGCCACAAGGCTAAACATAAACAAGATTTATGGGTTAGTTTAAATGAAAGAGTTAGTCAATGGTAGACCTGAGCTAATGGCCGAACAGTTTTAAATAATTAAGCCTCTGTGTGTTTACTTGGGTCCAAGTGGCTGCAGGACTGGCAGGTGAGAGAGATTTGTCCTGACCATGGGCCAGGTGGGACATAGAAAAACTTCAGCTACATAGTATGGTAAAGGAATGCTGTTGTCAACATTCATATGAAGACACACTGGACTGTGATATTTTAAAAGTGTGACTCAACAGTTATGTCTTTTTTGTAAGTTCTTTATCAGGGAAGCTACATTAGAAGGAGAGAGACAAAGAAAGAGAGGGAGATCTTACTGTTTACTGTTCTCCAAGTACATTATATGTTCAAGGTCACTGAGAATCAGGAGTCATTTCACATGTTCACATCTGCCTCCTGCTTTTTGCACTTGGCATCCAGAGGCTATGACTATCCCATGTGTATTTGCTTTTGTGGGTACAAGTTATACTTTAACTAATTATTACTCTTCTATACCTGCAAGAGCTGAGTGATTGCCATTTGGAAGGCAGCTCTGGATTTAACCAAGATGTCTGTGAAAATGACAGCAGCCCTGTTCCTGCTCCAGCTCAGTGGCTTCCTTGGATCTGGGAGTGGTGGGAAGGTGCTGGTGTGGCCAATGGAATACAGTCATTGGCTCAATTTGAAGATAATCCTAGAAGAACTTGTGAAGAAGGGCCATGAAGTGACTGTTCTGATACCCTCAGCTTCACTTTCTTATGAAGTTGAGGACATATCTGCTATTGAGTTTGAGAAATACCCTTCATCCTTTCCCATGGCTGATTTGGAGCAACTTTATATGGAAGCAATCATGAAATGCATTTATGAGCTACCAAAGCAATCATTTTGGAGATACTTGTTAATGTTTCAAGAAGTGGTTTGGAAGCATTCAGATTATTTTGAAAGTCTCTGCAAAGATGTAGTTTTTAACAAGGAACTCATGACAAAACTACAAAATTCACACTTTGATGTCATGGTAGCAGATCCCTTCATACCCTGCGGTGACCTGCTGGCTGAGATTCTCAAGATACCACTTGTGTACAGTCTCCGCTTCTTTCCTGGCTCTACACAGGAAAAGTACAGTGGAGGACTCCCACTGCCTCCTTCCTATGTGCCTGTTGCACTGTCAGAATTGAGTGATCGAATGACATTCATGGAGCGGGTGCAAAATGTAATCTACATGCTGTCTTTTGACTTTTGGTTCCAAAATTTTAATGAGAAGAAGTGGAATCAGCTTTACAGTGAAGTATTAGGTAAGTGTGTGTTCAATTGGGATTGTTGCATTCTAAATTTGCTGTGTCACTGAAGGTGAATTTGAAACAACAGTGTTGACAGCAGAAGGATTTATCTCTCCTAAGTAAAATGGTGAAAAGTGTGTATAATTATCTGCCAAATTCAAAGCATTGTAGAAAAACTTATGTCCCAATGTCATTTGCAAAGCTTTGGCTATGACTTGAACATGTCTCGTCAGAAAAGCACACACCCACAAAACAAATCTTTGATAATTCCTCTAAGAAGTAACATATCCATAAGACATTTTAACTCATGGTTTGAAACAGTAACTTCACCTGTGTGGTGGCATCATCATCATCATCATCCTCACCATGATTACTATATTGCTGCTATTACTTTTATTGTATTATGACTATGCACATGCACAGTGTGACACAGGTAGGGCATTTGTGCTCTTTGTAACATATGTGAAGGTCAGATTCAATTTTTTTGAGTGTTTACCTCCACCTTTACGTGGTTTCTCAGGATCAATTCAGGTGTTCAGGCTTGTATGGGGACTGCACTCAAGTCATTAAGCTTTCATGATAAACACCTTACCATCGAATCCTTTTCACTATGTAGAGGCCGACAGAGGTTTCCTAGTAAGATCTGAACTTACCCTGCCCAGCAGTGCTGCATTAAGAGATGGCTTGACCACATGCATAGTTACCAGGTGATTGGAAGGGTCTGCACTTGCTTGATCTAGAGGGAGCTGCTTTGCCCAACCCTTAGCATTCCTATAAAAAGCCCTTTTGAAGAGACAAAAGGGATGGTGTATATTGATCCAGGCCCTCCTGAAGCTATCCTGTGTTTCTGTCTTCTCTCCCCTCTATGTTTCTATTTAAATATTTCTCATCCCTCATCCTGTGGAAAAAGTGGGAGTTGGCCTCCCACAGATGACACTATGAACAGGGACAGGGACTTGGCAAAAAGAGGGTTGGGGGCCCACAGGAAGCAGTAAACATGTCCGGTTTTATAGTGTAATTTAAGGCAGGCATATTCCGTTTTTGGAAGTGAAAGTAGAGTGGCTGAAAGAAATGACGAAGGGAAAAGTGAGGCTGCAGTGAATCTCTCTCTCTCACACATTTTATCTATAAAAATTACATAAAAATATAGGGTTAAATATAGGAATATTGGTAAGAAGAAACTTAGGTAAGAAAAACTTAGGATAAGAGTAGAATTTCCCTAGTGCCAAAATGGGGTAGGAAAATAGTAAACAGATCTTCAGTGATTCACTTGAAGAAAGTTTGAAATATTTAGGGTAAGTTAAAGTATAGGAATATAGTGTTAAAAAAAAAAAAAACATTAGAGCCCGAACTGACCTACTCTGGTGATGGGATGGCCAAACACCCTAATTGTCGTGCTAGAAACCCCATCCAACGACTGAGGGATCTAGATGCAGTGATCCATGGCTAGGCCCCGGGTGGAGCTCTGGGAGTCCAATTATCGAGAAAGAGAAGGGTTTATATGAGCGAGAATTTATATGTTGAGACCAAGGTTGGATAAAGCACAGGGACAAATAGCCAAACGAGTGGAAACACATGAACTATGAACCAATGGCTGAGGGGCCCCCAACTGGATCAGGCCCTCTGAATGGGTGAGACAGTTGATTGGCTGAGACAGTTGATTGGCTTGATCTGTTTGGGAGGAATCCAGGCAGTGGGACCGGGTCCTGTGCTCATTGCATGAGTCGGCTGTTTGAAACCTGGGGCTTATGCAGGGTCGCTTGGCTCGGCCTGCGAGGAGGGGACTGGACCTGCCTGGACTGAGTCTACCAGGTTGATCTCAGTCTGCGGGGGAGGCTTTGCCCTGGAGGAGGTGGGAATGGGGGGTGGGCTAGGGGGAAGGTGAGGGGGGCGGGAGGGGGGAGAACAAGGGAATCTGTGGCTGATATGTGGAACTGAATTGTACTGCAAAATAAAAAACAAAACAAAACAAAACAAAACAAACAAACAAAAATAACATTAGGATAAGAAAAGCAACAAGACTGAGGAGCTATGTCCTTAATTCTCCAAATTATTGGACTATTAATGCAGACTCCTGGGGAAGAATCAGAGTCAGGAAAATACTCTGAGGAAAATGGGCAGAAAAAGATTCCTGTGGAAGTTTTTGGCCTGTGGACAGCTTAGATCTGAGTCCTGAGCAGCAGGGAAAATATTTTCCTTGAGACAGATACAGGCCAGACAAAACCCTCTGCTCTGCGGATATTGCCACTGTATGAAAACATCTTACCATCAGAATTAGTATCATCCTGGCCATGAAGTCAAGAAAAAGGAACAGAAATCTTGGGAAAAACTTAATAATCTCTCTTTCAACAACTGAAAGTTTTTCAGACTTTTTTTTTTTTTTTTTTTTTTTCTCTCAGAACTCTTTTCTTTCTGTAAGGGCAAAATTAGACTCACCAGGAAGGAACATCTATCAGAATGGGAAAGTCACCTGTAATTGCCCTAGAAAAAAAACCAAAAAAACTTCTTGGAACATGGTAAACCCTCTCTGCTAGTCCTGTCATCCCTTCAAGCCAGTATTAGAAAAACAGCAGAAACTTAGGACTAGAGTCCCTTATGGCCAGAGCCTAGCGAGAGGCGCCTGCGAGAGCCTTTCTTCCAGTGTGGAGCTGCAGCAGAGGCTGTGCAGGACCCGGAGAAAAGCTGCTGGCATGGAGGAAGCAGTCGAGGCTTGGAATACCTCCCTGCAATGAAAAAAACAGGGTCAAGTTTCTAACAGTAGCTGCAAAGCTGCAAGGACATCACGGGAAAAATAAAAGCAAAATTTGGCTGTACAAATGAGGCTGGTGAGGATGGCAGGAGCTGCTTGCCTGAGCACAAACCCCTAGTCGGTAGATGGGGCTACACAGTCCCCATGGACGAGGAGAGGAGCAAAAAAATCCCTCTGAAAAAGTTTTTTTCTTTTTCTTTTTTAAAAATTCTTTTTTCTTTTTTTATTAAGAAAAATTTTCCATCATTTTATGTACCAAAGATCCCCCTCTTCCCTCCTCCCACCCCCAGCATCCCCCTTCCAATCCAACCCCCACTTCCACCCACAAGAAGGCAAGGCCTCGAATGGGAAGGCACATCCATTAGAGGCAAGTCCAAGCATCCACCTGCCTCAAGGTTGTGTGAGGTGTCCCATCATAGGTAGTGGACTCCAGAAAGCCCTCATGCACTTGGAATGGATTCTGATCCTAGCACCAGGGTGACCCCCAAGGAGATCAAGCTACACAACTTGATCTGTACAACTATGTAGAGGGCCTAGCCCAGTCCCATGCAGGCTCTTTGCCATTGATCCAACTTTCATGAGTTCCCACTAATTTGGTTTGGTCTCTATGCAGGTTTCCCCCTCATGATCTTGATGCACTTGCTCATAGAATCCCTCTTCACTCTTTGACTGGACTCCTGGAGCTCTGCCTGGTGTTCGGCTGTGGATCTCTGCATGTGCTTCTATCAGTCACTGGAGAAAAGCTCTGTGATGACAGTTAGGGCATTCAGCCATCTGATTACCCGAGTAGGCCAGTTCAGATACCCTCTAGACTATTGCCAGTAGTCTCAGGTGTGGTCATCCTTGTAGATGCCTGGGAACTTCCCTAGCATTCTATTTCTCCCTATTCCCATGATGTCTTAATTAATCATGGTATCTCTGTCATTGCTTTCCCACTCCATCACTGTTCCAGCTTGACCATCCTGTTCATTTATGTTCTCAACCCCTACACCCTACCCTCCATTGCCCACCCTTCATCCCCAGTTTATTCATGGAGATCTCATCCTTTTCACCTTCCCAGGGCAATCTATGTGTCCCTCTTTGGGTCTTCCTTGTTAGCTAGCTTCTCTGGAGTTGTGGGTTGCAGTCTGGTTATCCTTTGCTTTATATCTAGTATCCACTTATGAGTGAGTACATACCATGTTTTGTCCTTCTGAATCTGGATAACCTCACTCAGGATCATATTTTTTAGTTCCATATCCATTTGCCTGCAAATTTCATGATATCATTGTTTTTCTTTGCTGAGTAGTACTCCATTGTGTATATGTACCACATTTTCTTAGTCCATTCTTCAGTTGAGGGGAATCTAGATTGTTTCCAGGTTCTGGCTATTATGAGTAATGCTGCTGTGAACATAGTTGAGCATGTGTCCTTGTGATATGATTGAGCATTCCTTGGGTTTATGCCCAAGAGTGGTATAGCTAGGTCTTGAAGAAGATTAATTCCCATTTTTCTGAGAAACAGCCATACTGATTTCCAATGTGGCTGTATAAGTTTGCACTCCCACCAACAGTGGAGGATTGTTCCCCTTGCTCCACATCCTCTCCAACATAAGCTGTCTGCAGTGCTTTTGATCTTAGCTATTCTGACAGGTATAAGATGGTATCTCAGAGTCGTTTTGATTTGCATTTCCCTGATGACTAAGGATGTTGAGCAATTTCTTAATGTCTTTTGGCCATTTGAGATTCTTCCTTTGAGAATTCTCTATTTAGCTCTGTAGCCCATTTTTTTTTTTTTTTTTTTTTTTTTGGTTTTTCGAGACAGGGTTTCTCTGTGTAGCTTTGCGCCTTTCCTGGAACTCGCTTTGGAGACCAGACTGGCCTCAAACTCACAGAGATCCGCCTGGCTCTGCCTCCCGAGTGCTGGGATTAAAGGCGTGCGCCACCACCGCCCGGCTGTAGCCCATTTTTTAATTGGATTGTTTGTTATTTTGATCTCTAGTTTCTTGAGTTGTTTATATATTCTGAAGATCAAACCTCTGTCAGATGTAGGGTTGGTAAGGATCTTTCCCCATTCTGTAAGCTGTTGTTTTGTTGTATTTACTGTGTCCTTTGCTTTACAGAAGCTTCTCAGTTTCAGGAGGCCCTATTTATTCATTGTTGCTCTCAGTGTCTGAGTTACAGAGTTATATTTAGAAAGTTGTCTCCTATGCCAGTGCATTAAAGACTACTTCCTACATTCTCTTCTATCAGGTTCAGTGTAACTGGTTTTATATTGAGTGTAGCTG